TCGTTCGAGCGCGTCAACCATGCCAGCAAGGCTTGTGGACCTCTAGTACAATGGGTACAAGCTCAAGTTCATTACTCTTCGATTTTGGACCGTGTCGGGCCACTTAGAGAAGAAGTTGGCCAATTGGAGGAACAGGCATTGCAGACTAAGGCGGAAGCTCAGGCAATTGAAAACACAATAAATGACCTTGAGAACAGCATTGCAACCTACAAGGTCGAATACGCCGCCCTCATTAGTGAGACACAAGCCATCAAGAGCGAGATGTCCCGAGTTGAGTTCAAGGTTGACAGAAGTGTCCGTCTGCTTGACAGTTTATCTTCCGAACGATCTAGGTGGGAAGAGGGAAGCAAGACGTTCGAGACGCAAATATCAACCCTTGTCGGCGATGTTCTCATTGCGGCAGCATTCCTTGCCTATGGTGGTCTTTACGATCAACAGTTCAGAAAGGCAATGATTGACGACTGGATGCATCATTTATCTCAGTCGAACATCGACTTGAAGCCACACAACCCCGTAACAGAGTACTTGTCAAATGCGGACGAGAGACTCTCGTGGCAGGGCAATTCACTCCCTGTTGACGATTTGTGCACAGAGAATGCTATTATCCTGAACCGATTCAACAGATACCCTCTTATCATTGACCCCTCTGGCCGTGTCACGGAGTTCCTAGAGAAGGAGAACAGAGATCGAAAACTTACCGTAACCAGCTTCTTGGATGACTCCTTTGTCAAACAGCTCGAGAGTGCTCTTCGATTTGGCAACCCCATACTTATTCAAGATGCTGAGCACTTAGACCCAATTCTCAACCATGTTCTCAATAAGGAGTACCAGAAAACTGGTGGTCGTGTGCTCATCCAACTAGGCAAGCAAGAAATCGATTTCTCGCCATCTTTCAAATTATTCCTCTCCACTCGTGATCCCTCGGCCTCATTCCCACCGGACATCTGCAGTCGAACGACGTTTGTAAACTTTACAGTTACTCAAAGCAGCTTGCAAACACAATCTCTTAATGAAGTGTTGAAATCTGAACGTCCAGATGTTGACGAACGTCGCACGAACCTCATCAAGGTACAGGGCGAGTTCAAGATCCATCTTCGCCAACTAGAAAAGAAACTGCTCCAGGCGCTAAACGAATCTCGTGGAAACATTCTTGATGATGACAATGTCATTGAAACACTTGAAACACTTAAGAAAGAAGCCTGGGAAATTTCCAACAAGATGGTTGAGACTGAGGGAGTGATGGCAGAAGTTGACAATATCACACTACAATACAACATCATCGCAAGGTCGTGTAGTGCCGTTTTTGCAGTCCTTGAACAGCTTCACCACCTTAATCACTTCTACCAATTTTCTCTTCAGTACTTTGTGGATATTTTCAATGACGTCCTTCACAATAACAAGAGGCTGGCGCAAGAGCGCGATTATACTGCGCGAGTCAACATAATACTTCGTGACCTCTTTATTGCAGCCTTCCAACGGACGTCACTTGGATTGCTCCAAAAGGACCGCGTGACTTTGGCCGTTCTTCTTGCCCAGGCCTCTCCATATCCAATGGACAAGGGATTGATAGATATGATATTAGATACCACTGTCGAGGGCTGCGATGTGTCTACAGATGGCAACCTCAGAGAATCTGCAATGTCAGCACTCGCCCAGATGTCGGTATTTAAGTCAAGTTTGCCAAATATCTCGGCTGAGCAATGGGAGTTGTTCCTTTCAGAGGAATTTGCAGAGAACTTCGTTCCCAACGTTTGGGACGAGGGAACAAGCCAGCTTGACCAACAATTACGATCCTTGCTACTTGTTAAACTTCTACGGCTTGATCGATTTGTGCCGGCTGCTGAGCGATTTGTTGTGACTGTATTCGGTAAAGGCTTGCTTGATGACAACGGTGATCTGAAGGAAGTTGTCGAACAAGTCACTTCAACCACCCCGATTGCCCTTAGTTCAAGCCCCGGCTTCGATGCAAGTTATAAAGTCGACGGCCTTGTTGAAAGAACACACAGGAGCTGTGCCAACATTGCCATGGGTTCGAACGAAGGACTTGAAAGTGCGGACAAAGCTATTAGCAACGCAGCAGCAACAGGAAGCTGGGTTCTTGTCAAGAACGTCCATCTGGCCCCTTCATGGCTTCAGAGTCTCGAAAAGCGTCTAGAATCGCTTAAGCCACATAAGGACTTCAGACTCTTCCTGTCTATGGAGTCAAGTCCAAAGATTCCTGTTAACTTGATTCGAGCATCAAGAGTGTTGATGTATGAACAGCCAGCTGGTGTTCGTGCGAATGTGAAGGATTCCCTGTCATCTCTGAGCCTGAGGGCAGCCAGTCCACCTGTCGAGAAAACACGACTGTACCTCCTGCTCTCGTTCCTTCACGCAGTTATTCAAGAACGACTGCGGTACGCACCAAGTCTAGGATGGAAGGGCTTCTGGGAGTTCAATGATAGCGATGTAAGTACTTCCAAAACTCTACAGCAGAGGAGAAAAGAAACTGACGTCAATCTATAGTACGAATGCTCTGCATTTATCATTGATACCTGGGTTGCGTCAATCGCCCAGGGCCGTTCAAATGTCGCCCCACAGAAGATTCCTTGGGACCTGATCCGGACGTTGATCACAGAAACATATGGCGGAAAGATCGACGATGCTGGGGACTTTGCACTCCTTGCCAAGCTCGTCGATACTTTCCTGACTCCTGCAGCGTTCGAGGACGACCATAAACTTGTTCCTGACGTGGAAAACGACGAGGCTCTTATCCTACCAACATCAACGGGTATCCAGGATTTCCTTGCATGGGTGAATCGACTACCCGAGCGAGAGCCACCTACATACCTTGGCCTGCCTGCCAACGCTGAAAAACTCCTTCTAGTCGGCCACGGAAAGAGGATGATCTCGAATCTGTCAAAGATCACCACCCTTCTCGACGAAGGCGAACAACTAATGGTCGAAACAGCTGCCATCTAGAAAGACATCATCTACATTCCTTCCTCTCTCCACATCTGATACCGCCTTCAAAACTTCTTTTACAACTATGCAGATTTGATCCTTTCCCCCTATTTTCCTATGTTATCCTATTTTTTGTAATGCTCTTCGACTAGCCGTCATCACTTCTCATGGCTTTGCTTCGAACCTTTGCTATTTACTTGTTTATTTTCCTATCGGTGGTCCGGCCTGGGGAGAATATCTGTCATGGGAGCTACTTTGATTCTATTATCTCTTCTTCCTGCCAATTGCTCGGTACATATATCATTCTTTTAATCTTTTACTCCTCTTTTTTCACCCCATGTATTACAAGAAACCGCGCGCACACAGCCTTTTAGATAATACCAAATTGTCTCCCGCTACCTTTTGCTTTAAGTCGCCTTTAATTGAAGTGAGTTCGTTCCATCTTGATAGCTGTGGTAATTTATCTGTCTTCTTTTACCCACCGCAGATCCCGGCTCCATCTCTGGGCTGCCGTGCTCCATATTCTCCGTATCGCAGCCATCCAGCCCACCACCCAAACTATATACATGGCTTCACTCCAGATTCCCACCCCTACACCCTCTTAGCAGCGCCCAACTGCCCGTTGATAGGCTGGATCGAGCGAGATGAAGCCAGACGTTACGTGTTTCGAGGCTCAGCACCTCAAACGGCCAGGCTGGCTGCTTGTGTCCAAGACCAACCTGCCTGTCAATTTCTTTCCCCGGGGCCTGTCCACTCGCACACAGCATGCTGTCTGCTTGCCAGGAAAGGCCTATATGGACTTCTCCTTCACCGTTGAATGTGCCTCGACACAAGTCCAACAGATCCCAGACACCCTGCCCCCGACGTGGCCGGCGGAAGCAGAGTACATGCTTAACTACGCGGAGGTGTGGAGGGTCCAGAGTACTGACTGTGAACAGAGTACGTCGGACGCGTAACTACGGGGTACACAGAGATGGGATGGCCTGATTGTGTCTGAGGCAAATGCACCTCGTTGCTAATCGCATCTTCTCAGACACTGCCTACGCGGTGCCGACTTGATATCATATCTCACTCACTCAGCCCAGCTCTGCCTTTCTGTCATGTCAGCGTTGATCCCCCGCCATCGAGCAGGAATCCCGGCGCCCCTTCGTCATCACCAGCGGCACAGAACCACCAGGAAGCGAACCTCAAACACGAAAAGCTCCTGATCGACTGCTCAGGCGCAAGGGAGGAGAAAGCCAAGATCGCGTTTCAGGCCTCCTGTGGCATCGGACGGGCATTTTTCGCCCTCTTCTCTTCCCTGTCGTTTTGCGCTGCTTGTTGCTTTTTCCGCGCCCAAGGGTGGTGGAGTGACAACGCCAACATCTTCCCCCTAGCGTCATCATCGTTTGATGATAGCTCGTCCACGCAGAGCGGATCTGATTCGGCTGCTGCTGACGCTAGACGATGGGGACGGATGCCGGTTATCAATTCACTACTGGCATCAACTGCAAGATCCCGGCCAAGCGAGCTTAGTAGTACGAGTGGGCTTGCTAGCCCGTTCGCCGGACATGGCATGGAGGGGACCTGACGGGCGAGCGAGAGGCTGAACAAGGGATCTCTCTATAACGAATACCCATATATATACCATCGGGTTGGTGCGCTCGACTCCATTTGGCCGTTCTCTTTCCTTCGTTTCTTTTTCTTCCTTTTTTTTTTTTTTTTTTTTTTTACTTCTGGGTTATTTTCTTCTTTCTTGTCCCTCTTCATGGGCAACATCCCCCTCGCTGAAAAGGATGTGAAGAACCTGGAAGCCATATCCGATGCTCCGGACTCTGATATTCCTTGAAGGAATCTTCTGCTTATTGCCCGTTAATACCTTCTTTTACCTCTTGTTTTTAATAATGAGTAACTAGTTTTCAGCATACCTTCTTTTTTGTTTCCCTTCTCATCTGCCTGGATGCATATATCAGTTCTCCCAACATTAAACACCACATTTTACGGGCCTTCGTGATACTACTGTTCAGGAGCACGTTAACTAGTTTATCTGATTTGTCTCATCATCAGACACACCAGAAATGAGGCGCCACTCAAAGGGCCGGGAACCCCGCGCAGCTCCATTTGCTTCGAAAGATGGCCTCTCTTCTATGTTTTCTCGAGTCCCGCTCCTTCATGGCGTCTCTTCGGTCGAGGAGTCTCTGCAGAACTTAACAATGGGTGATCATATCCCGGGGCTTCTTATTCCAATTGGTATGTCCCATTGAACTGTGTAAAAGACGATGGTGACCCGCCGTATTTTCGGGCTAACGTTTAGAATGCTAGCTTTCCTTTCTTCTCTAAGGACTAATCTACAAATATCTACTTTTCCGGATGATGCAAGCTATAACCCGTACTCTCCTTATGGTATTTCCATAGAGAGCAATCTTGACGCATCGTGCACCTCCCTTTATGGTTCATCAGGAAGCGAGGAAGGCTTACATTCACCTTCAGCTGTCCAGAGACAGGCACGAAGAAACTCCAGAGCCACAAAGCCTCCGTGTGTTGATTCAGCTGGTACCCTACCTACCGAATGCCACCTCCCTGTATACCCTACGCAGTCCGAGGAAGAAATTACATCTGCCCTTGGGCTAATCTCAGAGAGTGTCTCTCAGCAACGAATACTGGCCGTCAGAGCCATCATTTCACACCCCGCAGTGATTGCGGCTGGAATATTATTTTTCTTATCGAGTTCTAAATTTATTTACTCGGGTTCGCCCGCTGACCTTATCCTAATCCTCAGCGTCTGGACGTTGAGCCTCCTCGTTCTGATCCTGGTGATCCGCTTTATGGTCAAGGGCTATATGGTCCAAATCCGGCAGACTCGGGATACTAAGTGGCTTTCACAAGACTCTGTTCATGGCCTATCACATAGACGCGATGAGGTATTCATTGCTCGGGACCCCAACACTGGCAACGGCGATGAAGGTGGAGATATCGTTGGTGTCCTTGTTATGAGGATCTGTAAGACTGTTACCGACGCCAGTACACCGGGTGTACGACCACGGTCAACTAGACGGAAGAGCTCTGCTAGATGGACGGGTATAATTCGTGCATGGACGGTTCGACAGTCCGCTAGATCAAACGGAGTGGGCACAAGGTTACTGGAAGCAGCCATCGCTAACTGTCGACTTCGGACCCTGGATGGTCCCATGTTTGCTGACGATCATGCCCATTCGAAGCGCTTTTTACCAGGGATGTTTAATATCGGTTTTGATAAGCAAGATGCATGGGCACGGAGCTTTCTGGAGCACACTGTTATGAAGGAAAGGAACAAGTAACACACTATATACTTGTTCTTCCATTCTTTTTTCCCTTTTTTTCTTTCTATTTTATATCTCCTGTCTTGGTGGTGTGGGATCGGGATTATCTTTCCTTATACATTCGCTGGTTAGGCTCTACTCTGGTTTCTATGTTGGATTCGCTATATACCCTCGTTCGTTAGTCACACTTATTGAATTGTCACTATTACTGCCATTCGTTTTATTGTATGCGCGATGTCTGTCTTAACAGCCATTAACTATCGATAACCAACCCGCCCTGCCAACTGAGATAGTAACTTGAATTCTCGGCCACATACCGTCCCTTAAGCACCACTGCACTTGCCTATACAACATCTACTCTGTAGCAATGTAGTTATTCAAGTTGACCGTTACATTGAACGCGCGTTCATGCACTGGATGCAAACCATCCAAGAGAGGTAATTATTACACTGCAAAGTGGACCAAAGTCAGCAAGAATGATCAAATCGGCTTCAGGGTTTTCTGCGGGTCAAGCCGCTCGGCCGTGGGCCACGATATCCATTAGTTATCCCTGCTAGATGCATGCCTAACTCGCTAGCTAACTCTCTCTCCCTTGCTCCATCGACAACCCAATAGCCCCGTCACGCAAAGACGTTAGCAAAGTTACAAAAGGAGGATTCTTGGTCAAAATGTGAAGCCGTAGTGGTCAGAAAATAGACAGTTAGTGATTATCAAAACCGTAAACGGTCGTCCCAAGCTACAAACAGAATGATTAGCTCTTCACTCGGGCATATGTATACTATGTGTCTACTTCGTAGAGAGAGGCTTACCCTCTTTAGGACAAAAACAATCTAGCCATGGGTACGGTGTTAGCTGCCAATGATAACATAGCCAATACGTCTGAATATGAACTCACATCGGAGGTAGTCACTGTCTGTGATAAATGTTAGCTGCTTTACAGAGTATGAAAATAAGAAAACATAGCGATGCTTACCTTGCGAGTCTTAGCAGGCGTGTCAGTAGATTCGAGGAGCATGACCACTTGTTCCAGTATCTTGTTAGGCGGAGCATGTCAGTAAAAGACTTTCATATACAGGGTCGTATTAAGCTGGCTCTTCCTTACCGTCTGGAGACGAGAGACAACAATCTCTCGGACCGTCTTGTAAATCGCCTTTTGTATGCGTACAACGCCCCCACGGCGTGCCAGGCGGCTACAGTTTGGAGGAAGGGTTAGTCCCAGCATAGAATGGTAGTAAGGAGCTATTATATGAGATGCCGTGAAAGTCTCCATACCGGATTGCAGGCTTGGCTGTAGTAGATACATTGTTAGTTTTTTCTATAGTAATATCCAGTCTGGGTGTTGACAGGTATAGACTTCTTCGATATACTTACTTATACCCATGATATTGTCTCGTTTGTTCTTTCTGCAGCCACATTGAATGATTGATAAGACTTCCTCGAAGTGTTGGATCTCAATCAAGCTTACCGGTATCTTCTGGGTAAATATTTGGCAGTATGGTTCTTCCTCTTGCTCAACTTGAGTGGTACCTCCATATTTGAGCGGAAGAGGCACGATACTGGCTGTGAAATCGCGGGTAGAAATATAGTTGACTCGATAAGGAGCCAGGAAGGCGGATTTATGGAGGAATGGATTAGGTATGGAGAAAATGCGATGCGGTTTGGAAGGGAGTGTAGATGCAGAGAGTTGCTTTGTGTTGTGTTTTTATGTGTTCTTCAACCTAGCGTTACTGGGACAATGGACAACACAAAGCTGGGCCAGCAAAAAGAAGAACACCGATAAGGACCTCTAGCTTTGGCTGAGTTCTTTTGAGGATTGAATTGGCTCTTGATGGCAGGTATATGTATATTTGTGGCTGCCAGGGTCACTGGTCATAGACTCAGAGAAAGGGAGGGGGATTGTCTTTCGAGCGAGTCCTGAGTCCACAGCTGGAGTTGAGAGGAAGCACATAGTATGTCCCTGGGCCACAAAGCCGGGAATTGGGATTAATGACTATAGATAGGAATTGATGATATGTACGTGCGTGCGTATATATAAACATATATACGTGATGTGATGCCAGAATTTAGAGGCTATTCTGCCATTGACTCATGACATGCCAGTAAATTTTGGCCATTGAGCGAAGGGACAGAAGGGACATCAAACATATATGCGATAGAGACAAATGAGGGACAGCAGAGTAAAGCAGCAGAACCTTCCGGAGCCACACCTGAGCGAACGCCAGTCGTAGAAAGAAGATAGAAAGACATGACATATATCACTAGGAGATAAAGGTAGCCTCCATTAAAAGGGTACCTTCTTCTGTGATCTCCTCTTCGTCTCCAACTTTAAACTTGATGGGCAGCTTGTGCGATGGAATGAACTGTTAGGAACATAATGTCAGTTCTGGAGAGACATGCATAGAATAGACGATACAGAAGTCGAAAACTGACCTGATATACATATGGTCGTGTTCCAGCAACACTGCCGACAAGAGACTTGATCAAGCCTGGTACTTCAGCCATAACATCAATTCGGTCCATTCTCTGGCCCAGGGAACCTTCGATTATGGCTGTGAAGGGTTTACCATCTGCCGTTTTGCCAGACCAGGTGATCTTTAGAGCAGTTGGTTCAGGCCAGTCATTCTCAGAATCCTGGGTGGCTTCAGTATGAGTTATGGAATTTGGAGCACCGGCATATATAATTTCTCCATCCTTTGCTACGCCACCCACATTCACGATGGTGGAGCCGTATGAAGGAGGCGTCGTGTATTCCATCATGATAGCAGAGAAGGTGGGTGATTGAAAGTCAACAAAATTCCATCTCGCAGCTATGAAGAGAGATCAGATGGTCAAAATTGGTACCCATGAGTTTTAAGAAACAGGATTAAGTGGTGTGTGTAGCATACCAAGGTGATGGGGCTTCATGCCCTGGAGTGCATGGACGAAAAATCCCTTTCCGGCGAAGTCGATTTCTCTTTCACGGGTAATGATTGAACCTTCAACCTTGCATCGTGGCCAAAAGGCATGTCTCATACTGCCCCATGGATTCATTGGATCGGTTCCAAATGTCGAGATTCCGTCCTTACCTGCGACGAAACCTGGAGCAGTGCGGGTGATGGTAACATTGACTAGACTATCTTCGTTGATAGCCGACTTGATGGTATATGCGGTCCCTTCTTCATTGAGAGTGATGGCAACGTTGTCGCCGCCAAATGAGAGCATGTCTTCAGCAAAAATATGGTTCTGGACGGGGTCGGAGGCCCATAAGTGAGGTTTCGCTGGATCCTTGGAGAACACTTTGCAATTGAACTGGCAAGTTGTATGGAGGCCACTAGAGTGCGAAATATATCAGCGACTCTACTAAATGATGAAAGAGTAGATAAAAAGGAGGGGTGAGTGGCTAAGAAAAAGATGCGCTCCGACATCTTCATCGCCGAACAAGCTCACACGACATTGTTGTAGATCAGCTGGAGTGAGGCAACATCTCCGTTATCCGAGAACAGATAGAAGGTCTGGGTCTCGACGCAAGTCGACTGCATTGCTGCCCATCGTAAATGATCCTTATTCACCTCCGTGTAGGGTATCGTCTTTGCCTGGTCGACCACCGACTGTATAGCCGTGGGGCCATAGATCGGCTCCTGTGTCCCGGCAACGTTGGCCAGGCTATAAAGTAAACACATCAGTATATGCTAACTACATAGTTGGCCACGGAGAGAGATAGTACATACGTCTGTTTAAACCAGTTCATTGTTGAGTCTGTCAAAGGGCGGTATTCGACTTGGGGATTGTATCTAGACCGGATGGGAGGGGAACCAGCAGGAGGCGCGCGACCAAAGGCCGAAGCAGAAGAGCGGATGTGGCGGATAAACGATGTACCGTACTGGTTGGCCACAGGAGGTAACCTACTGTGCGCGTTAAGTTACAAGAAGACACAGCAGCACAAATGTAAAATGAAGCGTCAAAAGATCTTTCTGGCTTCTGCTTGCTTGCTTGCTCGTCGTCGTTTTTCTTCTTGTCGTCGAAAGGATCGCGGCTATTTTACTATTACGCGCGATTCCGGCGGTTACGACCAGGACCTGCGGCTAGCGCTAATATTGCTACTTTGAGTTTAGCGCACGCTCGGAAGAACTTTTTGATCTTTTGAGAGAAATCGAGAAGAAGAAGAAGAAGAAGAAGAAGCAAACGATTGACGGTGACCTGACGACAGGAGATCTCGAAAGAAGGGGAAAAGAGGACGCCGCTCTATCACTCACTCGGTTTCTGGCTTGTTTCTGCAAGGGCAACCACAACAATGGCCGCCAAAGCTATCCCAAAGGACGTCGTGGTGAAGCTCATCGTGGGCGCCGGGCAGGCCAGTCCCAGCCCTCCAGTTGGCCCAGCGCTGGGAAGTAAAGGTGTGAAGTCGATGGACTTTTGCAAGGTAGGCTGGCTGTTGACTCAATTGTTGTGAATTGGGACTTGTATGTATAACCCGACGAGAGCAGGAATTCAATGCGCGAACGGCACACATCAACGTCGGAACTCCGATACCTGCACGAGTCACCATCCGCCCTGATCGATCCTTTACATTCGACCTCAGAACTCCGGTGACATCCTGGCTCCTCCTGCAAGCGGCGAAGGTTGAACCAAGGAAAGCTCGCATCCGGGGCGGCGAACGGCCGGGCCACGAGACAATCGGGAACGTCTCTTTGAAGCATGTGTACGAGATTGCGAAGATAAAACAGACTGAGCTTCGATTGTCCGGTTTGAGCCTCCAGGGGCTATGTATGAGCATCATAGCCCAGGCAAAGTCCATCGGCATCAAGGTCGTGCCGTGAACGCGATATGTTCTAGAAGAACAGAGGAAAGGGGAAGCATTGAAGAACATGTACCGAGGTAATCTACTTTCTGCAAGAGTTCGACCAGGCTGGGTGGACGGATCGAACGGGTTCTGCGTGGTCATTGCATGGCGTTTTTGCGGGTGGGCAATCCTACTTCTTGGGCTTCTTTCTATATATATTTATTCAGCAGCCTCCCTTTTTTTTTTTTTTTGCCTTCCTTTGCAGAGAGCTCCTGGGAATGCCCAGAGAGCAGTGTACAGTATCGTACGGCAGCCACAGTGTATGATAGACCAACGACTTCTTCTCTTCTTCTCTTCTTCTTTTCTTCTCTTCTCCTTCGCTGCTGCTGTCACTCGCTGACTCAGCTACCTCGGCCGCTGCGCTTCTTGGTCGCTTTGAAAACTTCTCGACGGGCTGGAAGACAACAACGTCGTCGGTAAACGTCCAGCCGGGCCAGCAGCAAGTCTCCCGGGGATCAGCTTCCGTCTGCCGTCTAGCGGCTCGCGCAGCGTCATCAGAAGACACAAGCCCGGCATATCAAAACGTCTTCCCGCCGAGTTCCGGAAAAAGTTGAGTTCGAACAAGCTTTGCCTGGCCGAAAATCGATTCCAACCGCAACATTTTCTTCGTCGACCTCGTCCTCCTTCTTTTCCTCACTTCCAAGTACTTCATCTCTCATCTATCATCCTGATATCACCAGCCGATACGGAGTCTTTGGCTCTCTGTCATCTGCTTGACGCCGCCGTCTCTCCCGACCTGCCGCGATTCGCATGCCTGGCGCGCATCCTTCCGACTTCCGTGCCCCTCCTATTTGTTCGCGCCCTCCCTGGCTTGGCCTAGCTAGAAGGCCTCCCCCCCTCCAGCAGGAGCATCCCAACCTGCGCTGCGCCTAAGGACGCTCGCCGTTGCATCTGCGCCAGTAGACCGCCGGATGCGACGCGTTGGGAGGAATGATTCTGTACCCACAAGTCCGTTGAGAGAGCTTGCCCTAGGCCCTTCCCAGTTAACAATCTTGCAACAACACTTCCATATTATAAAATATAAAATAAAAGGATAAACGCAGCCGAGGAAGCATAGCGAGCCAGAAGAGCGCCTGAAGCGTGCTTTGAAAACTGCCTCATCGTCATCATGGCTCCGCTTGCTAGCTCAGGTTCGGCGGAGAAGAAGGCCCAGGAGCCAAATACAGTTCGTTTTGCCGCGCAGAACCAGGAGATCGAGCCACCACAGAACCTGCTATCGTCCAGTGGTTCTCCAGATACAATTGTCAAGGGAAATGCTGACCCTACACCTGCGGGCCCGGGTGGTGAATTCGTACCATTTGATTCTGCGTTCCAGAAATCCAGACTTCAGGAAACTAGGCTACACAACTTTGCATTTGATCCAGTTTCTCTGCCTGCTTCAAGGGTATGTGACCGATAGATCTTTATTGTTCAGATAACAGCTTTGCTTTCATCATATTCTGATCCTATAATTAGACAGCATTGCTAACCCTATGTTTATAGGTTCCTTCTCAAAATTCAAGTATCCGTGATTTCAACAGATCAATAGCGATATCTCCTCCTCCATCTCAACCCCAGTCTCCTGCCTTTGGGCCTATTGACTTGCCGGAACACCCAAAAGATGGACATAACCGTGCATTACTAGAGACTACAGAGATGACACCCGAAGCCTCCTCATCCAGTGAACGACCCTCCAAGCACTACATCAGAAACCAGACCTCCTTTTCTTCATCCCGGCCTTCCTCACCCTCTACAGCACCCTCAACACGTCCGGTTTCGGGCCACAGCAATACACCTCCGCCAAAACTATCAAATTTAAACCGTGGAAAGTTTTTCGTCGGTCCCTCAGAAGAGAGCCCTCCAGGAACTCCTCGGTTTGAAGTCAAACGGCCTGCCTCTCCTCTCCTGGGATCAGGCACAATAACCCCTTTGGGGGACGAAAATGACCCGTATGCCCGGGACAAGAGACCTCCACAAACCAAAAACCTAGCGAATCTTGATCAGAGGTTCATTTTTGGAGGAGTCGATGCCAAACGTCGCCCACATAAATCACATTCCACTACTTCATTATCAACGCACAACATTCCACGCTCTGCCCATTCATCTGAAGCCAAGGATCATCACCATCATAAACATCCCCACCTATTCGGTGGCAAGAAAGATCGACATCATGATGAGAAATTTGATGCCAAACATTCAGGCTCGATGTCTGAACTAAGACGCTTTTTTAGAATAGATCGCAAGCATAAACGTGGAGAATCGCCATCTTCCATGAAGTCTTCCCGGTCCTCCATTAAACATGTTCCCTTCCAGTCTACTGCTCCTAGTGTGCCATTTGCCGATGACCATGGCCTGCAATCAAAATATGGAAAGCTAGGTAAAGTTTTGGGCGCAGGCGCTGGAGGCTCTGTCAGGCTGCTCAAACGTAGCTCAGATGGAGTTACTTTTGCTGTTAAACAGTTCAGGGAAAAGCATTCATGGGAATCAGAGAGGGAGTACGCGAAGAAAGTTACAGCGGAGTTTTGCATTGGCTCTACCTTACACCACGGAAACATCATCGAGACCCTGGATATCATTCGCGAGAACGGCATCTGGTATGAGGTTATGGAATTTGCCCCTTATGATCTTTTTGCCATTGTTATGACCGGGAAAATGACAAGGGAAGAGATTGCGTGCTCGTGGCTTCAGATTGTGAACGGAGTCAGCTATCTCCATAGCATGGGTTTGGCCCATCGAGATCTCAAGCTGGATAATGTCGTTGTCAATGACAAAGGTATTATGAAGTTGATAGATTTCGGTAGCGCTGTAGTATTTAGGTATCCTTTCGAAACAGGGACCGTTCAAGCCACAGGTAAGCTACCACTCCGTTTCGCCATCCTATAAACAAACAAGATGAAGACCGCTAATGAATCATACAGGTGTCGTTGGCTCAGACCCATACTTGGCTCCTGAGGTCTATGATAATAAAAAATATGACCCTTGTGCAGCAGACATGTGGTCACTAGCAATAATATTTTGCTGTATGATCCTTCGTCGATTCCCATGGAAACAGCCCAAGGAAGAGGATAATTCATTCAAACTGTTCATCGCCGAACCATCTCCCAATACCCCACCACCTGAAGAATTTGGCAACCCTTCTAGAGGTCGGCCGAGATCCGTGGCAGGAGAACCAACCAATAGTTCCATACCTAACGGAAACAAAGGTGACGGCCACCATCATCGACGTAGATCAGATCACAAAGAATACCCCAAACATGAGCATGTCGCCAATGACCCTAAGGACGAAGCTTCTGCGAAGGGGACAGCCAGCACAGAGAAACAGCAGGCAACAGGCCAACGTCAAGAACCTATCAAAGGACCTTGGCGGCTATTGCGAGTTCTACCTAGGGAATCCCGTCTACTTATCAGTCGTTTACTGAAGCTCGACCCTAAGGAAAGAGCCACCTTACAGGATGTATTGGACAACGAGTGGGTAAGGAGCTGTGAGGTCTGTAGGCAGGAAGAATCCGGCCAGACTATCAATGCCCCCGGACATACCCACATATTAGAGCCTCCCACACCCCCACCCGCAAAAAAATAACTATTTAATAGATTTTATTGTGAATCACGTAAATGTTTTGGAGGATTTGGTCCCTTGTGGCTTGCTTTGGTTTGTTTGGCTTCATGTTTATTTCCTGTTTCCCTTTTCTAATTCTACTTTGTTTTTCCCGTCCTGCTTTGGCCTGGGATGGAAAAGTCTGCCTCCTTTCGATATGCAATTATAAATGTGGACAGTTATTTGGTAGGAGTTGGGTCTTTGTTTGTTTCCTGGCCACATCTTTCCCCTTTGGCGTTATGCAAAGGAGAAGAGCGTGGATTCTTGATACCTATGACCTACATAATGTACAATCAGATGCCCTATTGTTTTGTTTTATAGTATATATATACCTTGGTCATAGACTTATGCCACGGATCCTAATAATTACAGTTGACATTTTCTATTATGTACTGTGCCATGATCCAATATATACACAAACCTCTAACTGGTTAAAGCATCCGCTAATTTATATGATGCACGACGATATCATTCGCCTACGACGCTACGTCCGATTCAGGTGGTGATTGAGCCAGCGTCGCTCCAGTTGCATCTGTGTCAGTGTGTTTTCCATTCACTTGTGGTCTCTGGTCAGCCCCTGTGGTTTCGGTGCTGGAGAGATCAACTCCGACTTTCTTATCCTTAGCCTCGCCATCTTCTACAGGAACTGGAATCTTTCGCTTTCCGTTTGCCTTGTACACAAGAACCATATCATTTCCTGTTCTCCATAGGTGAGTACGTATGGTGGCAAGGGTCATATCCATAGGTATAAGCTACATAGATATATTGTTAATGTTTTCCATTTCTTTCATTTCATACACATATTCATTTGAGGTGACTTACCGTATTCTGACAGTATAGTTCGAGATACTCCTCGGGTTTTAGAGCATCCTCACTTGGAGTTTCGGCATTCTGCGGATCAATTCGTTCTGCAACATAGGCAAGAATTTTCTTCGCACGGAGCATTCGATTTGCATTGAGGCGAGATGAATTATTTGGGGCGGCTCTGTACTTAATGTCAGTGTGCCCCCCATTGATACCCATTGATAATAAAAACTATGTATTGCAAAACCAACACGTTCCAGGAGATGCACTTACGTATCAGGTTTAACAACCTCTGGAAGAGAATCCTGATATGGTTTCAAGGAGAATGCGATTTTAGGTATCTCTTTAAAAGGGACAATATTCTTCAAGGTATGGCGATCAGCAATGCATCATTGAATCCAGTGGTGAAGAGGAATTATAATAGAAAATCACTTACACGAAGTAGGAGGTCAGCCAGCCAAGCAGGGGCAGCTTTCTCAAATATTTCAATATCTTGACGGACAGTCCCAACAGTACCCCTGTATAGGTCTGCAGCAACGGCTGAATCTGGATTTTCTTCTTGGATAAGGATACCTATATGAGGTGGAATATTCAAAACTGGTGCCTCATTTTCTGGTGTAGGGGTGATCAATGTTTCTATTTCTTTGCAAGGATTTGCTGCCGAATAAGCATCATAGTCGGCATGTATCCTGTCGATAACTCCGCGAAAATTGTCATCAAATGGGCGTTCCTTTTCAGATGATTTATCCGATTCTTCTGTCTTCTCTTCCGCAATTGGTTTTGTTTCCGTAGACGTTTTAGATTTCTTCGGGAACGTCATTTGGAATTTCTTGCCAAAGAGGGTTGTTCCTTTTTTTGATCTCTCTTCCTTTTCTGGCTCTAATGGGCCTGATATGGGTGCAGCAGGTGGTGGCTGTTCGTCAGAGGATCGGGATTTTGCAGTTGAATCTGCTGCATCCGTTGATGGGCGTTTCATCGCATTGGTGAAATAATCAGAAGAACCCGTGGGGTCCTTACCACCGTCATTTGTGAAAGGCCCATTGCTAGAATTATGCAATTCGGGGAAAGGCGAAGTCATGTTTGGTGTACCGATGCCGATTGACATACCTGGAGCCATAGCTGAGCGGGTTGCTCCCGCCCCTTTCATCCCAGGAGAGCTAGGAGGAATTGGTGTCTCAGGCGAACTGGGTGTCGCAACTGTTGGAAGCGCTATATTATCCAAAACATCATAGTCACATTCTCCTTTCTGTTCATATTTTAATTTAAGGGTTTGTCTGTAAACCTCATCCCGCCGGACTTCTTCTTTGACAATTCCATCAAAGAGATACCTCAATATCCATTTCCCAAAATTGACTATGACAACGGTTATTAAAGATTCCTATTTATAGCATGATAGACCATAACTTACTTCTCTGATCTTCTCGATATGCATTGGTATCTGTGTCAGGGAGATTGGCCTGATCAACGTATATTTCCCCATCGAAGCATCTGTTTTGTTCCAGAATTACAGACAGTCTCCCGGTTCTTGTATGTAAAGTACACCAATTCGCAATTGTTTCAGTAGTATTCACTTCTGATGCAACATCATCCAGATGGCGTTTACCGAAAAACTTTATAGGAACACACTATATGCCGTTAGTATTTCGGAATAAGAGAACTACTATGAAAGCTTACCCTAAGTAAATCCCATAGCACCACATCCCCAGCGGTATCTTGGGTCAACGCCCTTTTTCTATCATTCAGAGCGATGTGCTTTATCATGCCATGCTGCCCTTCTATTGTCTCTTGAGGCAATGACTGAAGAGGGGTTGCGAGAGTTATTCCCTCATCCAAGAGAATATCAGTGGGAGCTCGTAAGCTAGAGACGGATAAGCTCACAACATCAGCCTCACGGTGCATAGGGTTAGGGAACGTAGCAGCGTTTGACAAAATCAGGATAGAACTGGCAGGGATTTTCTGGTTTGAAGACAGCGGGTCAATTTTGTTGTCATCCGAGGGTGTTGGGGATGCCACGCTTGGAGTGTGTCGACAGAGTGGCGACGGTGCGGACGCCTCAATCTCCGCAGTTATATCAACATCACTCCAACGATGGATACTAGATTTTGGTGTCGCTGTCCAAATATGACCCCCAGCGGCCACAACTTTGAACACGCCATCATTTTCCTGCAAGGCAGCGACGCAAATGCCCTGATCAATATCTGGAGCATTTCTGGTATCTGTTTTCGCCACGAGGCCAGATCTATCGCTTGAATAAAAGACAGATAATTGGGGGTGGTCCGAGTATAGTGACCATACACTATCGTTATGCATGGTAAGAGTGTGCATACATCGTCCAGCTGCCATGGACCATACTTTGACGGTTTGGTCAGATGATGCTGTCAAAATTGTATCGGCATCGCGGTTAAGAAGGATACTCCTAACGTTATCTGTGTGGCCGACAAATTTAGTGATTAATTTCCCCGTTTTAGAATCCCAGATTCGAACAATGCTATCCGGGCCGCCACTGGCTAAAATAGACCCTTTCGCGCTCAAAGCATACACTGAGCCTTTAGGTGTCTTGTCATATTCAGAAACATCGATTTTTAAACGTTCCCCGCCGCCATTTATATCCCAAAGGTATATTTTATGGTCCAAGCTACCAGAGGCAACCCAGTCAGCGTCTGGTTGCGGAGTTGCAAGGCATTTAACGTAATCAGTATGCTTTCCAATAACGGCAGGCGCATGGTCATCGGCTGCCGGTCTCCATGCCCTTACTGTGGTATCTGAAGAAGCGGAAACGAGGGTCGAATTATTCCGAGTCAAGATGATATCGTTGATCCAATGTGTGTGCGCTTGGACTTGGCTTCTGAACGAGGTAGTGGTAGAGGAACGGGAGGGTGTATTATTTTGTGTGAAATCGTGTAGGTCATTACGTGTCCGGAGGTTGAGATTCAAATCCCAGGCACATATTACGCCATCTCGCCCAGCAGAATATCTGGAAATGTCAGCAGACTAGTTCTACTCAAAATCGCTGATCATAGTAGAATCGTGGTCCACTGTCGAATCAACAGTTTCACAAGAGTCACTCACAGAGTTGAGCTTGTGGTATCAACAGCAAGGCCATTCACACCCAATCTGTGGCCGCCAGGCGCATCTGGTGGTGACAGCACTAACCGCAATGACAAGTCAATGAAATTGCTCTCGAAAGGCATAAATATATCAAGTTTCAGTGGGGAAGCGCTCACCGTAGCTGACCCGTTGGGTTGACTTCCTAGCCATCCAGAAACCACAACCCGACACTGCACTGCTCGGCCGTTATCACGGTCCGGCGCAGGGAATGTTGGTCGCCCACGGAGTTTCGAAGGTAGTAAGTACTAGTGCGTAAGATAGCTAGACTTCTTCAGTTGGCAAACCGGCCGAAACCCCATGTGGTAGATCCGGAGTACGTCTACCACTGAGATATAGAGTGTAGAGGCTGCCTTGTAATTTTTCACTTCTGTCGGTCTTGAAAGAGTCGTATAATTGTTAAATGTTGGAGTCTTGCGAACATGCGGAGGCTGTCACTAAACACTAAACTTAGCCGCGATAGCTTATCGGGTCACATGATTTTTGAATGGTCTCTCTATAAATAGATATCGATGAGTTGAAAATAAATAATACAGCCAGTCAAGCCTATTAGTCGGGAAGAATGCTGCAGAGCCCCTACAGCAACTCTGACTGGAGCTTCTGCTCGGTGTGATGGCCTTCCATCAAGTTCCACGCTCTCTGGTAGCTCCCAAGAAAAATCGCTCCTCCAATACCAATCCAGGCGACTCGAGGTCCGATCCCTTTCCAAAATGCGCTAGCACCTTCATCTCTCCATATTCCTTTGACTATGTCCCTGACTCTGACTTTTCCCATACCTGACTCAGGATTCCCGCCACGCCGGGCCAGCATCACTCGGGTTTTAACGACATCCAGTGGTGTTGTCAATCCCGCAGATATAGCCCCGGCAATACTTCCAAAAATTGCGCTCGACGTAGCAGATATACCAATTACCTTCGCACCTGGGTTTTTCTCTTTCTTCCAGGAAGCATACGCATCTTTCATCCCTTCCCACATAGTGAACTGTAGTATGGTAAAAGGAATTTCTCGGGCAATTGTTATAGAAGTTCCTCGATATAATTCACGGATAACCAGGAGTGACCCATTCTGACTCCCGTTTCCATGGCGTAGAGAGAGAATGTCCTTGAGGGCTAGCAAAGTCGAGCCTCCAAAGAGACCGGCTTGCGCTCGCTGTTTTATAACCTCCGTCGGTACGCGAACAGCACAAGCAGCAACTTCGCCTAAAGACGATGCAACGGAATGTGTAAGGAATGTGTGCTGCCATGGCACAGTCGAGGGCGAGGTGGTTGGGGGTAGGAAATATCGCTTTACGCCATCATAGACGACGAAGAAGCTCGCAGCTGATGGAGCAGATCCGAGCAGAACGGAGGGCAAACCAGCGTATATTCCGCGAAACGTCTGTCGTAAAACTTTTAGGCCATTGGCACTCCCATTCAATGAGCGCGCAACTGAAGATCCTTGTGTCTTATGTCGGGCTTGCTGAAGTCTAGTCTTGATGGTATCGAGAGGGAAAAGAGAAACGTCTACGGTGAGACCAGCCGCTGCTCCAGCCTATAAAATGAAAATCCAAGTCAGTTGGTTTGATTAGAGAATCGTGGATTAGTTAATATACTCACCAGAAGGGACCTAGTCCACAGAGCCGATTGTGTCGCGTGCGACTCATCCTTCTGACCTGCCATTGAATCTCAGGGCCTTTCAGTGGTCAAATATTACAATAGCAGCCCTGCACAAATGTTCATGTTGCCTACAGCATAGTAAGCCGAGCGAACATGTAAGGTAAACAGCTCTTATCCACTGTTGCGCGCGTTTTGATCCGATTCGATCAATTTCAAAGATTTTTTGTTCTTGAGATTTTGCCAGGATTTAGTTCACTCGTTAACCAGTTAGCCGCGAGCAAAAAGGGGGTCAAAGTCTACAGCCGCCGCACGCCATGAAAAGAAAACATTATCCGGTAAAGCCATGTATTTTATGGTTTGTTCCTAATGATACCCAATAAAGATCTTGGATTATGGGCAGTTACGTTCTCTTATCCGGATTGCCGAAATGAGCGGCTAAAGGTGTTTCCATAAGACTTTTCCTGAACCTTTAAGCGATCAACTATTTTAAGCGCGTGCGGGCTGGCGCTTATTTATCACGTGATATTAACCTACCCGCTTCGTCGCCGACAACAAGCCGTTGGAGATAAAGCGAAAGCGAATCATCTTCCACGCTCTCTGAGAGAGTCGAGAGCCAGATAGAACGATTCTTATACCCTTTTACTCTATGGAGATTCTTTGGCTTGGGATCTAGGCCCTAGGTCTACAATGGCTTCTAGCAGGAGTATAGGGGCGCTTGTGTCATCGCCTGTTAGTCCTCAAGAGTTTTACCGAGCTCTGACTGGACTATGGACAACCTGGCAAGGAGGTAAACATTTACCTTTACAACGAATAGGTGTGTTTCTGTTGTCCATTTGAGGTCCAGTGAAGGATATGCTTCACGGGCTGGTATAGAACGGAAGTTCTAAGAAGCATTATTTAGGTCTTGCCGTCAGTGGTGGAAGTGATTCAATGGCTCTAGCCTACCTTTGCAGTCAGCTAGTCACACAGAATCTTATGCCAGGCCTGGAAGTGAAAGCCTATATTGTGGATCATAAATATAGACCAGAAAGTTCTCAGGAGGCGCAGTCAGTTGCAAAGCGTGTGGAAAATCTAGGTAATCCACGCGTTACATTAGTAAACTTCAAGTCATTGGCATGCTAACATATCCTTTAGGTGTCCAGTCCAAAGTACTTACCTTGCAATGGCCTGAGGGTGGATTATTGACGAAAAAGGGATTTGAAACGCAGGCACGAATGCTTCGTTATCAGATACTAGGCAAAGCTTGTGTAAAAGATGACATCAGGGCCTTGCTATTAGGGCATCATCAAGACGATAATGTAGAGACTGCTCTCATGCGTATATCCAAAGGTCACAGGAAACTTGGTTTGGTTGGCTTCGATGAGATTGCGCCCATTCCAGAGTGCCATGGACTATACGGGGTAAGTAAGAGCGGATTGGCCACATCTCTACAGGGCATCCTAAAGAGCACTAATATGGATGGGACCATATCACACCCATCTTCCGAAATACCCTCTCGCTCCATGAATTTTGCTCCGGGGCAAATGCAAGTTTCTACTGGTGGAATATATCTTTTCCGTCCTTTCCGTTCTTTTTCGAAATCACGACTAGTAGCAACCTGCCAGGAAAACAAAATAGCGTTTGTCTCGGACTCCACGAATGAAGATCGCACATTCACTATCCGTAATACAGTACGACAATTGTTGAATTCGGAAAATTTGCTTCCACGTGCCCTACAGCGGCCATCCATTCTGTCGCTGGTGGATAAGTCGAGAGAACAGACTGAAAAATTCAGAGAGTTATGCGAATCTATCTTAAAGAAAGTAGAGGTCCTCAGCCTTGATACCCGCTTCGGTACCATGGTCGTCAAAATGCCAATGATGTCCGAGCTTCCGAAACATCAGATAAATGCGGTTCAGGCACGCACCCCTCTTCCTGATGGGGTACGAGATGTTTACGCATCAGTTCTGCGAAGCTTATGTGACCTTATATCACCACACCCAGACCGATGGAGCGCATTGTCACAATTCCGCAACCCTGCTTACAGGGCATTTTTCGGGCTAGATCCATCTGGCATGAATGGTACCGTTTTTACTGTAGGCGGAGTTTTGTGGCAAGCCATCAATCAGAAGACGGCATCAAAGTCCAACACTAAATTGCTTCTCTCAGATCTCCCAAGTCTCCAGAACCTCCCCGGTAACCTGCAGCTTCGAGATCAAGATTTTACACCGCTTTCTGCTAAACAAAATAATGTTTGGCTTCTATCAAGGCAGCCTATGCATTCAGGCAAACCACAGCCTACAATAAACTTTGCTTTGACAATACCGGACTACTTAGCAACGAAAACTAAACACGGGGTTATATTGCAGAAGAAAGGGCAAAAAAGCCGGCAGCAGGATGTCGGGAAATTCATATATACCGAATGGACCGATTGGAAACTTTGGGATAATCGATACTGGATCCGCATACGTGGCCGCACTAGCATTCAGCAATACGATCGTTCTCAAGAAAGACTTGGAAGGAGTGACAAACCCTTGGGGAAACAAAAATCAAAGTTCCCCAAATATTCGCCTAATTCTGAAATACCAATCCGTCTCCGCCCCCTTAGTCCAGCTGACTTGGTCAGGATTCGAAAAATACTAGGGGGAGCCGTAAAGAGATCATTAGATAGAGACATGGCAAAGGGTCATTTTATCTTGGATGAGGAACGTGAATCTCGTGCCCGATCCCGTCGCGACTCTCAGGACTCAGCACTTGTAACCTATTTAGCTTCTCAAAACCCAATATCCGCAACTACGACCTTAACGAGACCACAAGGTCCAGTTTTACCCATAGCACCATCTATGTTTCAGAAACTCCTAGCTCTTCTTGCTCCTGGGAAAATTCGGTTTTCTGCCCCTATCTTAACAGATGTGGCGCCAGAAATTAAAGACGATGAAAGTTTTGAGAATATACAAGATCAGCTTTTGGGGATGCCATCCATACCCATGTCCTTCCGGACAAAGATACGAGTAAGAACACCCGTTAGAGACACTGGTGGGGGAAGAGATGATTGTACTTTTGATGTACCTTGGAGTGTGGAATGGGAAGTGAGATACAAATGGATAGACCCGAATACCGTTCAGGCCGTATCTTGGAAAGCATTTGACGTGCCGTGTCAGGGATCGGGTGCTTCATAATGTGGCCTAATTCCGAAACAAGTAGGTTTCGTATGATATACTGCCATAATTAATCGAGAAGAAATGGATTGCTTTTAATAATTCATCCGGGAATAATGCCCCAACGACGATGTTAGTTCATATTAGATCATATGATTTATCATTCATTATGAAGAAAATAAACGTAAAAAAGAACTGAACAACCCCCACACAGTGAGATTTAATCCTAAACCCATATTTTATTACTAGTTCTACCATTGAACGCCAATTCTGACATACCAACTAGTGATGTACAGTAATCTAGGCAATCTTCATGCATATCTGTTGAAGGGTCATGGTCCAGGCTGCTCAACGCATATTAACTCGAGGGATCACCTATTTGTTGCGCTTTCAGCCCGCCGATTTCCCTTTTCAATCGCATGTTCTCCTTTTTCACACGCGCCACTTCATCAAGTGCATCCTTCAATTGACTTCGAAGTGCCTCTTCGCCGACACCAAGTCGAATTTCCCTGGCCATTTTACTTAGTTCGTTATTAAATCGCTCATACAATGCTTCGTTCTCTTTTCCAGCTTCACGATAAAGTTCATCAAGTTTTCGCGCTCGCTTTTCAGAGACCAGGAGGGAGTTCTCCAAATCGTTTTCAAGGCTGGCGGCCCTAGCACCAAGGTTTGAAGTTAATGCAGAGAGTTTGTTTTCAAGCATGCGAACCCTCTGCAGAAGGGCATTGGATGACGTAGAAGCAGGGGGTGAGGTAATAGGCCTTGCCTGGGGGCCAGCAGATGACAATGGCCGTCGTCTAGATGGAGAAGTGGACATTAATTCTTCGGTGACGGATGCAAGTTCGGCCTGCAAGGATGACTCTGCGGAAGCTATGGCCTTTCGTTCATTTAACACACGCTCGCGCAACTTTGGAAATGTTAGAGATACCCTGGACAAAATATAAGTCATGGGAAAAACGTACCTTTTGCGGTGTTTGCATCCGTAACTTTTGCGGTTTGGGGGGTGAATTTGACTGTGCTTGTAGCCTACGGCCGTAGCCATCACTGCTACTTGGTCGAGTGGGTTTCTCGCGCGGTCCAGCAATTTTAGACGGGGTTCCAGCCCGCGTGCTATCTGCTCTCCTCCGAAGTGGCATTGATATCGTTGAAGCATGCTGCCTCGTATTGGTTGATCGATCTGCTAATGTTGTTCGAGGAGACGGAGGAGGCACATTCTCTTTTAGATTCGCAGCTATTTGACGCACCGGCGATGCTATTCTAGTCGGAGGAGTATTTTGAATAGGCGTATGTTGCGCACTATGGATGGGTAAGCCAAGTGATTTTGTCGGCGGTGTTGCTGGTTCCGGAGTTTGAGCGGAAGTGAGAATATTTGGAGGTTTTTTAAACTCCCTGTTAGCAAATAGAGGCGCTATGTCACCCGTTGGGAGATCTTTCAGATCAGAGAGCGAGCTTCTTCTCTTTTTTCTCGAAGTAGTGGTTCGTCCTACAACAGGGTTTTCGACAATGGAAGCGAGGGAAGGCTGTGTACTGCTATTAGAGCTGGTTGGGCGGTTAACTTCTTCATCTTGAGCAAATATTGTCTGCATAAGAGGCCGATCTCGGGATCGAGGTCTTAGAAGACTATGCAGACGGCTGTCTGTATCTGTGGATTTAGATCGCATTAGTGAATTCTTGGAGAGGAGAACATCGTTCTCCGAAGCTCCTTTCGATTTGCTCAAAGATCGAATAATAGAGCTGACTTTGCCCTCCCCGTCTTTAATACTATTTTCCCGGCTCAATCCAAATCCAAATCGCTTTCTGAATGACGATGCATTCGAACCAATTGATCCAGGAGCTAGTAGGCCTCGATTTATTTCGTGAGCAAGATGTCCCTCAGATGCCGTAGGTCCAGATTCATCAAATAATCTTTCAAAGTCTTCAACAAGCCTGTCAAGGAGGGGTATTGTTTTCCTTGCGTCGTTGTCCTCAGTGAGGATTTCGGAGAACACATCCGTTAATGCGCCTCTGTCACCATCGTTCCCAGAGTCATTTAACAACTGTGCAAGCAGCTGTATCAATGCTGTAAGCGCACGGCGGGTTTGTGGACTCATCTCAGACAGAAAGCCATGGAAATAGTCCTCAAAGTCCCCAGGAAACAAGGCATCAAATTTAGCTAGAAGAATCAAGAGGGAAGTTTGGGGTATTATCGGACCAAATTTCTCCTTCCAAGCCTTGTCGAGGAAGGTCTCGAAAGCAACTATCAGCATATCAACAGGGGACTCTGCGGCAGCTTGAAGTTGAGTTGGGTCTTCTAGGAGAATATTGTAAAGCTCATTTACTGCCGCCATATCGACACGGTCTCGGGACCTTAGTACGCGACCGACAATATTTCCACTTCTTGAACGGATCGCAAGTATATAAGCGGTGAATGTCTCTTCCAATTGCTCAAGTGGACTTGCGGTTCCATCGGGAATGCTTATACCCCCATGAGGAAGCTTTTGCGGAGAACCATCGTCTAGGCTGGCATTCGATGATTGGGGTTGCAAAGTTGGCACATTGTTGGACAAAGCTGGGAGTGATGGAAGCGATTTTGAAGGAGCATGACCAAGGTTTTTAGGTTGGCTGGCGCTCCAAAGGGTAGATAACAGCTTTGTTGGGGATGGTGGCCGGAATGCCTTAGATCCCTTGGAAGCACCCAAAATATGTTGAGCAACGACGCGCAGGATGTTGAAGTTGCTTTGTAGAATTATCTCAGTAAGTAGGGGGTTTGGGCTTTGAGAAAGAGGGCAAAGCAGAGTCGTAACTAGGAAAATGGTTTAGTCATTGTATCTCTAACCAGGAGCATTTACTTACTTCGTTTAGACAGGGTAGCAGTAAAATCTTCCGCAGAAAATGTGTCACTGGATGGAGTACCGACGACAGAATCCAAATCCATCCTAAACCTGGAGCCTCCCAGCATAGGGAAAATCGATGCAACGACTTCTATCTGACTAGACTTTAGTTGATCTGCCAGGGTTTCTTTTGTAGCATCCACGATCAATTTGACACTAGATGGAAACTTGGGAATATCCGGCTCCGTTTCGTCATGTTCAAACACACAAATCATTGTTCCCAAATTGCCAAACGCCCCCTTTGAAGTATGGAGCGACCATTTCCCTCGTTCTCTATAATGCTCTGGGAATCTTCCTTCAATCTTGGCTTTGGTGATCTCTTCAATAAGTTTGGTAGCCTTCCCTTCGTACGTTGATGTAAGTTCAAGAGTGAGAATAATATTGTGGGAGCGCAAATGCTCGTTTTGAATAAAATTCCGGGCCGGAACAAGATACAAGATACGTCCACATTTAGACTGTGAGCAACGAATACTGGTAGTGAGAATATGTTGACCAAACATAAGGTCTAATGGGAGTGAAAGCTCCGTGCTATCGGTATCAATATCCGCTCTAGCCTTGTCAATTTCAGCGCAGAGTCCACGGGCCGTCCACTTGCTTTCTGAGTGTTTAGTTAGGAATACTAAACAATCAGCAAAGAGCAACAATATGCCTGGTTGACCTCTTGTGGCCTGACGAGCCTGATCGGAAAGGGGGTAGGAGGGTATACACGTCAACAGCGGTAATTAAACGGCCAGCTGGCGCTACAGATTCTGGCCACTCATGGACTATCCTTCGCAAGTGTATCAAAGTCTGGGAATGATCAGAAGCCGAATATGAGTCTAGTGAACATATTTCTGTGACCGTATCGCGCGCCTTTAGAAACGACTTCACAGCTGGGTGCATTGATGGAAGAGATGCAGTCATAGTATCAATTAAGAGGCTGTATCGTGGAAGACGCTGGATTGGCTCCATAAGTAACGAACGCATCCGCTGCTCTCCAGTCTCATAGACCCGTTTAGAAAACGAGGAATTCTGATCGCCCAGAAAAGAATTGAGGAGAGAGTAGAATCCCGTATGGGCATGCATATATTGTCCATACGGCTTGGAGAAACGCGGAAGCCAGTCAAGCAAGCATTGGGCGAAAGCAATTGCGCCCAAAAGATCATTTCGTCGGCCAGTTGTTGGGTCACGAGGGAAAGTTGATGGGTCAAGCATGGTATCTTGGGATAGGTCTTCTAGGGCATCTTTCTCTGTTTCCTCGAGGACAAGGCGTATAGCATCCAGAAATCCCATATTCACTTCAAGTATCTCGTTAAGGCAAGGTGGAAACAGCTTGGCTAACGCTGATTCATCTGGACTTGTACTCGTCGGTGCTTTCGCCCTCGCTTTTTGGCAAAATTCATGCGCAACATTGTGGACGAGGTCATACATTTTATGAACATATCTTTCTTCCGTATCGACAAACTCGCACATGGAAAGCCGAAGGGCTTCTTTTTGAGTAGTGGAAAACAACTTAGACTTGCTGAGGTTAGAAGGTTTCGACGGAGCTCGGCGCAACTTTGAGGTAGGTAAAAAGATAGGTTCACCCAGAGAATCTACTAGTGGTGCAAGTTTACCGAACCGGTCAGCAAACTTCTCATGGATAGGCGACTCGATGCCTGATTCACTATATCCTAGCAGTGACTGGCGTGACGATTCACCCGGTGACATTGGGACCGTTATAGTGCCCGTAGGTACAATTAAATCAATGTCAACCCATGGAACAACCCTATCCGCGAACGCATCTTTCAGGTCGCGAACCACTGCTGCTGGATTCTCCACTTTTTCCATCTTATCTGCGAGATCTGCTGCATGCAGCTCATCAAAGAACTGCAGTGGTTTGGAGCTTGGTCTCCCTGGATGTGCGAGCGCAACCAGCTCACTTTTCACGGAATCTGGAATCTCCGAGAAGTACTTAAATAAACAGACTGCCAGCCCTCGGTAGACTTCGTCACCCTGCCTTTCGCGTGGTAGGTGGTTTACAGCCGCATACAGGGGAGCAGCCGGCGATACAGTGATGCGCGGATAGCTTTGTAGGCCATCTGCAGCGAAAATATGGACTTGGATGCGCGAGCTATTGAGGGTTGAGTTGGCCGTGGTTGCAGGCCCATGGAAGACAAATATCGAAGACAGGACCGGGTCGACCGCGTGGTAAAGAGCGAGCTGCTCAAGCGGAAGGCTCGCGCAGGAGCTCGCCGCGGAAGCCATGGCGACCGATTCGAAGAGATGACGTAAAATCGACGATACAAATACGTCGTTTGTTTGTTCGGCGCGTTATCGCAAACGGTACTCCGTACGAAAGCAAGCACTTCTTCGAATCTTGCCGTTAAAGGGGGGCGAGGGGGCGTCGCTTTTTCCCACTCCTTTTATTCAGCCAGTGATCTACCAGGCCTCTCCAGCTCTCCTTAAGCATATATGCGGTCTATCGTGTCTTCTGTTCGTCAATCGATGTCTAGCCAGGCGAGGCGGCTTCCCCAGCGCGGTGTTCTTCCTTTCTCACGTTGTAACTCTGCTGGCCAAGGGGGAGAGGGGGGAGTTTCCCTTCAGAAGCGCGTCATGCTAGCTGATGCACGACAAAGCTTTGTCGCACACAAAATGGGGAACCGAAAAAACCATCCACGGGTCTGCGCTTCGCCAGGAGAGGACGGCCGTCGCGGTTGTTTTGGGCAAGATGCGTGTGCAGCGTGAGATAACTAATTAATCAGCCCATCGGAAAAGGTACGAACCACAAACTGAGATCGATCTGGTTATATTAAGCAGCGCCAGGTTGGCGGCCGCTGATTGGCTGCGGCTGTGTTAAGCGCGTTTCAGCCGAGCTCCACTTGCGAACAACAATGACAATCTACCAATTTCTTCTGCGTCGACAGCTACGGAGTACAAGCAGTTACTTGACACTTTTAACAGACGTTGACGGAGTATTCGTCTTATAAGGATGTACGGGACGCAAGTAAGAGAACCCAGACCAAACCAACAGGTCGACTGAGACGAGTTGGGAGGAATTCTAAGTTGAGTCGATCTGAATTTGGCCAGAAACATAATCAATAAAGACAGGACGAAGAAGATACAAAAAGCAAGCGATATGCCCAGAAAGAAATTCAGCCGGCTTCCAGTGAACGTCTAACCAGATGTGTCGACAGGTGCAAACCCAGCGTCAAGGATGTCAAAAACAGGGAGCGTCATATACCACAACATGCCCGGCCTTGCCGGGGTGGCCGTGTGAATGGAACAGGCAACTCAGGTGCTTGCTAAACTATACTGCACGTCATGGACGAAAATACCTAGCCATATGGTATGGATCGTGCCCTCTCAGGAGCCCCAGCCCTAATTCTCGAGGTTAGCATTGGATCCAACCTAAACACACACAGACCAAACCAACCTTCTCCTTCAACTTGGCATGATATAGGTGATCCCGATCTCTTCTTGTGATATGGCTGTCCCTGGATCCTGCGGTGGAAAAAATGCTCCCTTCCCTTTTTTGAAACCTGGATGGTGGAACTTGTGCCGCATCTTTTTTAAAAAAAGAAAAATCACCGTCAGTGACGCCACTTGAGATGTATGGGATTAGCAATATTTCGACTTACCCCATTCCTTGCTCATCCGTCTGTCTCTTGGTGGCGATGATCCGAGGGATGACCCAAGAGCTGAACCCTCACTTCCCTTACGCTCAGGCGCGGAAGTTGTCTTATCCAAGCTGTCGGAGCCTCGCCTGTCGGCAAAGGGGTCATTGTTGAGACCTTCCATCGGCCTTCCGGTGGTTTGACACGGGTTTGTTTGGTTGGCTATTGCAATTCATAACATAAGCCTCGGGTATTCTTGCTGATTGAAATTGCAGTTATTTACTTACGATCAACGTTCATTTGTTGGTCAGAAGATGCCATGAGGAATGTTTGGCAGGTTGTGAACGTAGGCGAAGACGTTATACACGACAGATGATAACGTTCTTCCAAGTGAAGAGTGAAGGTAGGTTACCCGCTGGATGCTGGTGCAATAGATAGGAAGATCTTACTTATATCTGATAATCTGAGGTGAGAGAATATGTGAGATCATAGGGTGGACCAAGTGTTGTCGGTTGGGAACAAAAAGAAGGCAAAAATGCCAACTTTGATGGCGAGTCGAGAGGCCCTTATATAACTATTCCAAAAAACTTTCCTGAACATGAGAGGCGGTAGATCTCACATGTATTCGGACAGTAAGTATGTACTTTCTCCTGGGGCGAGGGGTGCGTACCTCGACGGAAAGTTACTTACTACGACCCGATTCAAGGGGTGAGTAATAATACGCAGATACATTATCGCCGTTTAGCCTCTGTCCCACAACACACGCAAATGACAGTCATCCAGAACACCTGCACAGCCAATATTCTTCAGTTCTTGTGTCCGCGTAGCATGATTGCAGGCTGTGAATATTGCCCTTATCGGGTACGGCCTGTATACATACATCCGCCGGGACTTTGCTTCACTGAGGGGTAGGCTAAGGACAATGTCCAGGAATCGTGGAGCAGCCATGGTCTAGAGTTCAATTCCTCCAATACTTGAACCTTCTCATGCGCTCTATTCCTAGTTAAGTCGGTTAAGTTAGAGCTGAGTTATGGATTCCAAGCATCTTGTATGGATGTGGATCCTGATAACTAATGTAATGCGGAGTAAGGGGTGTCATAAGCAAGGAGCGACCTGCCAATGGCTATGGAATGGCCAAGGCCTGGCGAATCTTGACGAGAACCTTGTCCAACGACGATATTCCCTGTTGCATACGCTTTTAGAGAACAGTCAAGTGTGTGGCTAGTGGTTCGAATGCTGTGAAACTTATCCCCAAAGTGGCGAATTGGGGCAGTGATAGAAGTATCCATGTCCCACCATCTCATTCAACTCTCCTCTGTACCGCAACCGTTTGGCCAGGAGGGAATTGCTAGGCGTTAACTAACAACGCTGCAGAGTTTCTTTCGCTTGTCTTAGCCTAACTACCTGATGATCCAGAAAGAGGCATGTCGTGTGCTCGCATGGCTTGACACTAAGTACTGCCCTAGAAAAGAGGAGAATACTGACAAGAAGTCATCTTTAGTCAGCCACGACCGCGTCTTTGTTCCTTTAACGCATTCAAGCGTATGATTGTCGGGTGATGTGGGACTCTGTTCGCTGGAGATTCGTATAACAAACTCGCTGCATTCCAAGCTAGTAAGCCACGCGAAAGACAAGGGCGAATCTCCACCTTTGTTGAGAATATGCCTGCGAAAAGTTGACTCTTATGCAAGCATTCGATCGACAATTTGCAGGGCCTTCTCTCCAGACGGAGCACAAGGAGGGAACGAAGAATGGCGTATCGTAACCGCTGACCCTGGCCCCTGCATCATCGTCATCATAACGATGATGATACGTCGATACGTTATCGTCCTTTCGTGAGATAATGCGAGTGCATACTGTCATCTCTGGCCATCCAAGACGGTTCAAGGCCGTCATCTCTTAGACGATAAACAATATCGTGCTGTCATAGGCAGAGGAGAGGAAGGCTTACTGATGACTCAACGGTCCTCGAGAGGAGACAACTGCCCCATGACGCCTTCCAACATCGTGTTCTAGCCTTCTAGGCCACAGCTCGGTCATACCTATGATAGACTATTCTGCGACTGAGCAGCCATCCAACAGTTGCTTCTAGCACTCGCGGAATGGCGACGTTGTCCGTCTTCGCTATGGCCGACATCAAAAGGAGAAAATACTGAACAAGGAAGGAAGGAGCAAGGAAGATAGGACTTTCCCTTTCTGGCGGATGTGGGGCGGGGCCATCAGGTGGCCTATGCATATTATGGGGTAAACTTTATATATAGTTCTTATCTAATAAATATTCACGTGATGTCACGGGGCTGGACTGGCCCATCGCCGAGACCGCATCTCTTGGCATGACTTCGTTCTCCTCCAGACCTTGTCCTTGAAAATGGAACATACACCGAGAAGTTGTATACTAGTACAAGAATACTTATGCAATACCAGGGACCACAAGGAAGCAAGCTTTTTAGGGCCATGTCCATAGAGCTACCGAGCATTTCATAACGTCGGCGAAAGTGCCCTTGACCCTGCGTCGTTTTTGACAACCAAAGGTCGTGTGGCCTTTCCGGCACAGCCACGGTCAATCACCTAACTAGTCAGCGCTGAAACGGCTGCTTTCAGGTGAAGTTTAACTATAAATCTGGTTTGCTGGCAGGGCATGTGATCGCTGTCATGCTTGACACGCCCTTGCTGGCCATGGGGATCTGGGCTACCGTGTTAGACCTGCGGGTGTGTCAAGCTTCATTAGCCATGGTAATGGTTACGACCCCGGTTAGGGCTGAAGGAATACGCAATCCTCGCACAGGGCCTGGAAAGATAAAAAAAAATAAAACATAAAACATAAAATGAAAGATATGCTTCCATGCTAATTATCTAACTACCAGTATACAGAAAAGATGCACATATTTTCAACTGAAGTCATTAATGAGCCTTTTTTTTTACTCCACCTCATCGGCAGGTTCAGCTGCCGTTGGCTCAGCCTGTCCCACTTCCGCTTTCTCTGTGTCTGCGGTGCTGCCCGTATCGTTTGGCATATCAACCCTTTGATCCTTGCTATCAACGGGATCCGGATTACTCTGCTGTTTTGCCTCGGGCCGCATTGTGCGACTACCCCCATGTCTGGAAGACGGTGCGTCTGCAGGAGTAGTGGGAAATATCTCTCCAAAAAGATTGGGGAGGAAGCGGTCAAGCCGCTTTTGCGTTTCGGTCCATATCCTTTCCTTTCCAGGATCATTATTCGGTGGTGCGACTAGATAACCCCCATTTGCCATTACTAGGAGAATGTTTTTCAAACTCTCAGGCACAGCCTCTTCCTGTAAGTTATGCCAAATACGTTAGCCAACGTTGTACAAAGTTGATGAGCGACAGTCAAAGGAGATGTAGGACTACGCGTTATGACCCGGCAGCCTTCCCATCTCAAAATAAAAAAGTGAGGAAAACAACGCAGAAAGAGCCAAAATGCACTTCAAAGTCAAAAAGATAGGGAAAGAGGATGTCTTACAAGGCTGTCTCCTTGCCCGCTATTCATCATTCGATCCAAGATATCCAGAATTCTCAGCCACAGATCCAGCATACCTTCACCCCATTCGGAGAGTAAGACGAGGTAATGGAGGAATATTTTGCAGAGAAGTGTGGCAGCCTGAACTCGCGTCTCGCTCATGCCTAAGGGGTCTGACTGATAGACCTCAGGTTTGAGCAGCTCTAAGATCAGTGGGAACAACACTTTCTTGAATATTGTAACCCATTTGGTATGGTCTGTCGACGCAAGCTCTGAAGATAACAAGGATCTTTGAAGTGCCGACATGGTTTGATTGCGAATATCACGGCACGGATTGAGGCCTTGAGTTGTGAGTGAATTGAAGATCGGAGACCAATATGCCGCCCATGCTATTGTGGTAATGTATTAGCTTTGTAGAATATATATGGGACACCTATATACCAGACATGAAGAAGTGTACCTTCGTTTTTCTCCAGGTGAGAGTGTTGAATGAGTGCAGGTATCCGGCCTGTAACTCGGTATATTACCCCGATAGCTTTAGTTCCGCGGATTACATAAGGATTATCCCTATCACACAGGATTAGCACGGGTAGTCTGGTAATATATCATATAATGTAACACATTCTTACCGAACTCTCACTTGTCTCACTGGCTTGGGTCGACGTAGAGCCATTTCCCGCTTTATCTCCCTAACCGTAGCAATCCCTCCAGCTGTTGCGAAATCATTGAGGAGGTTTACAGCAGCTTCATAGTTATCCGCTGTGATCACTGGGACGGCTGACTCGACAATGCTCTGTAGCAATTCGAAGGCCATTTGCGCCGCTTCTTGATGTTGGTGTAACCTTTGAAGTATAGACCAGAAATCTGGTGACATACTAAGTTCGTTTTTTAGTGCCTCGGATTCATTAATACACTGTAGCAAACCAGTAACAACTGGCGCTGCTACTACTTCAAGAACGGGTTGGTCAAAGCTGGAAATTATATGCAGCACTACTGGAGGCCGCATGAATGAGTGTTCCTAGAAGCTGAATTAGTATCCACAACATATTACGCAAAGAAGAAGCCATAACATACATAGCTGTGGCGAAGGAGAGTTAAAAGATAATATACTGCTCGAGACAGGGTAAGTGGATGTATGTTTTTGGCATCCCGTACTATATCCTGGAGAACACTGGTCAATTTATCCCCGAGTCTTTCTATTGTATCTGTATCTCGGAGGGTGAGAACAGTTGCAAGCTCGAGAATGTATAAAACCCCCGGTTTGTAAGCGGGCTTATTCTTGTCAACCTTGCTACCCTCAGACCTATGAGGGTTGGGTGCGGGGCGTTCAGGTTTTACAACAATGACTGCGGCACCGGTGTCTGGGAGCTCAGACAGCAAGGATTCAACAAATATTACCACAGAGTCAAGAGGCATAGTCCTAAAAAAGTTAGAGAGTCCTGCGTATATGTACCGTGGTAAGGGGTAGCTCACTTCAGATTGTTGAAAAGTTGCGCTATATCACACGCATTAATGCAATCAACAGTGCAGAGTGTGTTCTCAAGTTCTTCATCGGATGGCTCCGGTGGATCGTCGGCAGCGTAGCTTGAGAGATAAGACGTGAATGCAGAGAGCAAGCTGGTGTCATTTTCTCGGTTATCTCGATCGATAACTTGGGACGGTGGTTGAAGGGGTATAGGGGGCATATCAAGTACTTTGAAAAAAGAATCGAACTGGGGGACAAGGGAGTTGATGAATAAGTTGTGGAGAATTTGAATGATATGTTCCCATCCATTCTGTTGTATTATAGCTTCATTGCCGACAATAACACGGAAGAGAACCGCAGTTGCAAGCTGTGCTCTAAAGTCCCTGCCCAGTCGGACAGCAAGCTCGCTCACCATGACACTCTTTTTTCCAGCCTGGATCTCAGTATTGAGACTAGTATTGGAAGGCGTTGCTGAAGCCAACGTGCTGATGGAGCTGAGGCAGTAGATTATGCGATCCATGACGTCTTTCAGTTTATATTTCGCTGCAATCTGAGCGCATTGATCGAAGCCGATGACCACCCTCGAGAAGACGGCGTCATCTGATGCGGACATAAAAACATAAGAGAGAGTCGCGATGACCGGTTGCCAGGTTGCTTCAAACATATCTGCATCGAAAGCGTTGGTCTCACAAAGTGATAGATTACCTGCTGTTTTTGCTTTCACAAGAAGCTCTTTCCAAGCAAAGTCGAAAGCCTGTTTGTTCTCATGCTCATCTGGCAGGATAATTTCACTATTCCGGATGGATGAGTAGATATCCTGAAGGTACTCAGTTGAAAAATCCTTTCCGTTGTTGACGCCGCGAAGGTTTCTCGCGAATCCCTCATATGACATCTTATTTTGGGGTTTGATGTTCGGGTTATACATATCGGTATTGAGGAGAATGATGGCATACGTCAAGACAAAGAGTGAGTCTTTATCCGCTATCTCTTCAGGATGAACAGCATCGAGGTATTTCTCAGAGAAAACGGTAACGATCCTCGCTATGAGCGGAGCTTCACCGGGCAAACGCAAAGACCCTAGTAACTCTCTCAAGGCTTCGACGACATTCTTTCCCTTGAAATCCTGCAGCCCGATGAATGCATCCAGTAATGCTTCATTAGATCTGTGGGAAAGGAAGTCGCCTAGTTCTTTTTTAGACACTCTTGTGGTTCCCTTCAAGAATTTGGCGACAGCCAAGGGGTCATCGGGGTTTTGTATTATGCCCTTGGAAGCAAGGAACGCAATACCTGCCTTGGGTTTTTCATTAAACTTTGCAGTTCCCTGAATAATTATTTTCTTCTTCTCACGTTGGCTTCGTAGCCGCTTGAGGTCTGGATCATCGGCGCTTGGTGGTTCTTGATCAAGCCTGTCTGCCAGGAATTGGACATATCCCAAAAGCGCATCAAGACAGAGAGGCGGGACATTAGTGGTGCTCCAAGTGGCAGAGTCTGGGAATGCATTCCTGGATAATAAACCAACCATATCTTCGCAAAGGTCCGCCTGATCAACATCACAGTCGTAGTTCATGAAAAGCTCAGCCATGAAATTAGGAATCCTAACAAGAGCTCCGATGCTCTCGACCATCGCTTCTCTAGCTTCTGGCTTTCTAGAACCTCCTTCCATGCCTAGCTTCTGACGATCCTTAACGGGAACAGGTGTAGATCTACCACTTCCAGCCTGTGAGGGTGAGGGCTTCACCAATTTTGGAGCTCGTGGAACCCCAGCGTAAAGAGATGGATCTATACCTTCTTCTTTAGGTATCTCAACCCTCGGATGTAGGCAGGCAACAAGGTAAGAAAGGAATAACTCCTGCTGTAGCTTCAAAACGCGGCGGCATGTTGCAAGTAATGTCCCAGCTACTCTCAACGAGCTATTCAAAATGACAATGTTGTCTGACCTAATCAATTGGAACAAGTGCCGACATAGATCATCCTTTGCAAGCTGAGCGAGACTTGGATGCCTTGCTATTGACGGGCCTGAAACTTCCAAGGCTACATCTATAATCCTGAGAGACATTACTCTCATTGCGTCGGTGTGCTGAGGGCTATGTGGGTCCAACAAATCAATAAGAACACGGAACAGCTCACGGATCGAGGGCAGCCCGTAGGGTGCTATCTCCTTTTCTACATCTTCGTATGAGTCTGCTTGCACAGCAGGGTTTACTGCTTCCATGGTGGGTATAGTTGTCGAGCTATCACCGCTCACACGTTCCTCTTTTTCGGGATTGGTGGTATCGGTTCCTAAACTTGATGCATGCTGGGATGCCACAGTCTCCCCATCCACGGAGGGATCCATTTTGAGATTGCTCGGAGTTTCCTCTGTGTTCTCATTGCTGGGTTCCCCCTCTGGCTGCTCACTGTCGACATCAAGGCGTGCAAGTCTCTGGAAAATTATTTGGCACATGTTCACCATTGACATCTCAGCCGACCTTCGAAGGACTTCTGACAAACGAACTTGGCAACACATACTCAGCCCGGTTTCCATCATCTCGCACACACTCTCGTCACCTAATAATTCACCCTCCGGTCGAGACAACATGCCTTCCATGAGTTTCAGTATCCGAAGAAGAACGATCTCATCAGCAGCAGAATCACTAGCCTCGAAACGGCAGTGTGTAATGGCAGCAGACAGGAGTTGCAATGCCACTGACAGGCGTGGAGAGTCATGGTTGATGATATTGTAGGCGAAGAATTTTGTTATAGCCGAAAGGGCTAGCGATGTTATAGGCGCCGACGTCGATGAAGAGCGGATAACTTGCAAAAATGGATGTAATAGACTCGGTGTATCGAACAAACGTATATCTTTACAGTCCTTCAAGTCGATCCGGAGTCGAGTAAATGCTGACATCAGAGGATTATCCTGGATGCTTTTGCCTCTCCTTCCCCTCAACCCCCATCTACCCGCAAGCGAATAATCCCCTTCTGCGTCTGGTGTACCAGACTTCGAAGCAGCATGATTCTGGGCAGGCTTTGGGCCGAGCGAGATGTTCCCAGTGCCTAAAGGAATTGGAGTGTCCCGGTCCATGCTCCTTGAGCTCACACCTCCGCCCAAGATTGCTGCCACGGAGGAGTGGGCCCATCGAGCATGCTTCCGCATAGCGGACGTAACGGCAATGCATTCTGTCGTAACTAATGCAATGGGGTTAATGGCGATTGGTGCAGCCGCCCTCAGCGGTGCCATGTTGCGGTCACCGTTAATTCGTGCGCCGCGGATCGGAGACGAAGTAGGTTGCCCGAGCGGCAGGTTATGTAGTGTATGCTGGCCGTCATTGTTATCTCCCTGTAATTCAAGGCTCATATTTACCCTATGGCGACTTCTCCGGTGATTTGCAGTTGGGACCAAAACAATCTATATGCAGACAGTACGTCAGTATTTAGATGGAGGATAAGAAGGCAGTAACTAGAATCTCACATATATCAACTTTTAGAAATGGCGGCTAATATAACATGCTCCACGCGTTGAGTCTACTGGCAGCCGCTATATCCACCGGATTTCTTCATGAACGAGCAAGCAGACTAGAAGGAATGTGCTGTTGTTGGTTGTCTTTTCCACCGCGCCCCAGAAGTTAACAGGTAACAAACGTCTTGGAAGCTCTGGATTGGTTTCTCCATTCGGCTTAGCGTGCAGCGCACCCCATTGGACAGGCTGCCGCACCATAATAATTAAGCGCCAGACAGAGAGTACGACTCAAAAATACCAACAGTTAAATATCAGAAGGCGAATTTGATATATCGACGAGAATTGGTTTCTTTCCCTGCCATGGGACCTAGATGGACTAACTCCTTTAGAAGGTGTAGCTAATTGCGTTGATATTTGAATTATAAAATGTCGAGAAAATCAAAGACCACCGCACCAAACACCAGAAAACCCGACTAAACACCATTTTCCCAGGCTCTCAAAAGGAGATACTCGAAATTGTAGTAATACAACTAAACAGGGGAGCAAGTGTAGTAATGCATAGGTATGATAGGGAAGGCCAGAAGCGAAAGCGGAAGGGAGGACAATCATCGGGCGGGTTACCAAGCTGCGCCAAAAGTTTATGGAAAACTAGCGGAAAGAAAGAGCAATAGTAGAGCACCGACTGTAAAGAAAGTGAGAGGAGGTGAGGAGCATGCTATTATAAACGTAGGCTGGACTCGCGAGGCGTAAATGGGAGTTGGTGAAAGTGTCCAGATATTTCTAGAAATAGGCCATTGCGGGGTTGATTTACCAGGGAAAGGAAATGTCGACCGGTTATATCTCGTCGTCAATGTCAATTGCATCGGGATTCGCAGCAGGGACAGCAGGTTCTGCCGTCCGGTTACCGCCTTCTGGGCCTGTACTGGCTGCAACGAAGCCTATTGGCGCCTGTGCTTGACGTTCTAACGCTGCCATAGCATCGGCTGCTCCTTCTCCCTGGCCGGCAGCTTCGCTTATAGTGTCTTTCGTGATCTGCTTACTGCGAGCAATTGCCTGAGAAGCGATAAAGTTGACATCGGTACTGTAATTCTGTGATTAGTTGTGCCTCGAAAAGTATATAGAATCCAGTTAAAGTGGACTTACTTGTACTGTGCCTGTACACTTCGTTTAATACGAAGCATCTCCTTAAAAGTATCCTCGTTACCATGTTGAACCTCAAACGCTTCCCATTTTTGCCAGAACTCAGCATTGGTCCGAGGATCGCAGAATTGAGAAGCATGTCCATAGATGGCTCTTGCGCGATCAATCTCGCCCAACCTGCGCTCCATCTCAGCAAATTTAAGACACATGTCCTTGGCTTCTTTGTCAGGTAAAGCCGCAATGGCTCTCTCATAGATGGGCCGAGTAGACGTAAGTCCAAAGTTGGAAGCAGACTTGGTGATGTAGAAGTTGAACATCTCAGATCGATCCTCATCAGAGACAGCGCGAGTAGCGCGCTCGTATATTCTCATTGCATGGCGTGCCAATCCTCGCTCCTCTTCAAGGTTCCCATACATGAGGTACAGAACTTTCGCAAATTTAGGCGGGCATCCATCCACAGCTTGCTCAAACAAGTCTCGTAGTCGCTCAATGCCGATCTTGCGGTCCACAGCCTTCGTCAGGTACAGGTTCCAAAGTTCGAAAGCAACCGGATAATTAAAAAGGTCAAGGCCCCGTTCGTATATCTTGAAGGAATCTTCAAAATACTTATGCTCCTCCAAAAGATTGGCATAGTTAACAACCGTTTGGGGAGTAGCGATACGTAGCTCAAAAATTCGTTCGTATACTTGTGTAGTTTCTTCGAGACTTCGTACACTTTCAACCAGGTCAACATAGAAACTCCATAACTTCCAGCTTTTGTGAATGCGCTGTTGTGGAGAGAGAGTTTCATCAAAGTAGTCAACGGTAGATCGCTTGGGTGCCTGGGTTGCCTTTGCCATGATGTCAACAGCGCGGTCAAAGTTCTCATTTCGTAACTCCATTTCGGCCCATTCACACCAAACCTCAGCAAGCTCTGAGACAGTTTTGAAAGGCACCTTGACAGCCTTATCCATGATTACTCTGGCTGTGTCGAGATCCCCGCCTTGCTCGTAGAATTTGGCATAGTTGACCCAGAGCTCATAAAATTTTCCATGTGCCTTCTTAGGGTTAATAGTAGCGATTGCATCAGTATAGGTACGCACAACCTCTGTTTTGTTATCACCCCATAGAACCACTCGCTTTTCCCATTCAATAACATTGTTAGGATTTTGTCTTAGAAGGACATCATTAACAAGAAAGGGTCGACGATCCATGAGCTGTTCGAACCTCATCATGCGTAGGTCCAGGTCGAAATCAGCAGCCTCATCTACCTTGCTGTTCTCCGATCGAGCAGCGGCTTTCTCCATGAGGGCACCAATGATTGACTCTTCAAATTCGACATAAGAATCAAATATCATAGTGAAATCTCGGATAGTCATGACCGTGGTTATTCCTTCTTCAAAGACATCACGGGCCTTTTCGAAATTTCCTTTCGTTATCCAGTATGTAGCCAAACCGGCCCATAACCTACCCCGCTGGTCAGGAAATTTCTCAACACCGCTTCGAATTATCAGGTCGACATTGATGCCTATATGAGGCCCAGTTTCAATTTCTTTCGCTTTGTTGACAAGCAACTCAACCATCTCAGTCCAGAGCTGAAAGTGACTTAACCCTTTCTTTGATTGAAACCGAGGATCATCTAGAATCCGGATGTACCATTTAATTGCCTCATTGTATTGGTTCATTTGGACCAAAATCGAGATGTAATCTTCGGCATCTTCAGGATGGATTTGCATATATCGATTCCAAACCTTAACTGCCGTATCACCGGATGCCGAGATAGCAAAGGACTTGTAAATTTTCCATAAACGATTATGTTGCGTGATAGGAAGCGCACGAAGAGCACGATCAAACGTCCGCCGGGTCTGAGTTATTAGTGGTTGCTCAAGTAAAAAGTTGAGATACATTTCCCAAATGCGTGGCATTTTGTTCAGTAAGACAACTGCTCGTTCGAAAAGCGCGTTGACCTTGTTGTATTCGGCTTGATGGGTGGAAGGGTTTCTCCCATGAATATGGTTGATTCGAAGTTCAAGATACTATATATAAAATGAGTGGTCAACGAATTGTCCCAGTGGTGACATAAGGAATGAGTTCGCATCCATGAGGCTCACCATCTTCCAGAGCTTGTATGATCGGGGCAATTGTCTACAGGCTCGCTCCATAACCTTCACCGGCAGTTAGCACCCATCTTTGTTCATTGAACGAGCTGACATTCTTACAAAAGACTGCTCGTAGAGTGTTCCATTCTTCTTCTTGTGTTCGATATATGATAGCCACGGCTTGATGCTTCCCGGGTCCCGGAGGATGTCCTGTTCATAGACAGCATCGTCATTCGCCTATGGTAATTAGTACTCTAAATCACTCATAATCGGACGTAAGTACGCGCCTGCAAGAGGGTAACCCACGATCAAAAAGAGATCTCGACGGGGAGAAGAGTCCATCTTGTCCCGCTCAGACGACAGCTCCTGAGGCCGTGAGCCAACAAGAGTCCCAGGCATCCTCCCGCTCGCCACTAGTGGGACCTACACAAGGCCACCACTGAGTATATGCACAAGTGTGCTGCCAGTGATATACTCTGCCGCACGGTTGGGTCGTCCCGGGTCTTCTGTTGTCGTCCGTCGTCTCACCTCCCAGCGCATTGAGTAGTTATAAATTCTTATTTAAACCAGCGGTTGCCCAAGGTTGAGTGGGGATCACGTGTTACGCGTGGGACCCCAGGGAGCTTGTTTGGGACTTTCATTATTGTGATGACATCGTTTGTTTCTTCTTTACCATACCAAGAGGGAGGCCCGAGGAAGACAAAAATTTGATTGAGCTCTGTTCTTCATATGAGAAATCCTCTTTAAGTGTTAAAATAGCTAAAATCCGCAATGTCAGGCTCAGCGGTAAGCTCCGTCCATTTCACCGTGTCAGAGTAACTAGAACTGACCGCAAGGGCCAAACCAGGATCGCGAGGCGGTGTTTCCCACCAGGCAGTCTCTGGGTTTGATGAAAGGGAAGCTTAAGGGAGCTGAACAAGGCCACAGTCTACTCAAGAGAAAGAGTGAAGCGCTGACGAAGTATGTTCTCCTGAACTGGTGACCTGGGCACCTAAAGCTAACCACCCTCTGTACACCTTAAGGCGGTTTCGAGGTACGCAGTTCCAGCTATCGCCTGTAGACGGAACTCTGATTTTTCTTTCTTACTAGAGATCACACGGCGAATCGATGATGCTAAACGGAAGATGGGCCGAGTGATGCAGATTGCTGCCTTCTCCCTCGCCGAAGTAACGTACGCGGTTGGTGGTGATATCGGCTTTCAGGTTCAGGAGTCTGCCAAACAAGCTCGCTTCCGAATCAGGACAAAACAGGAGAACGTTTCTGGTGTCTTGCTTCCTCAGTTTGAGAGCCTGACTACAGATGGTAACAATGATTTTGGCTTGACAGGCCTTGGAAAGGGCGGGCAGCAAGTTCAGCGATGCCGTGAAACTTATGCAAGGGCTGTTGAGACACTCGTGGAGCTTGCAAGTTTACAAGTTAGTCCTCGTATACTTCTTGCTGATGGTATACATTCTGTTAACGCCGATTCCTTAACAGACCGCTTTCGTGATTCTGGATGAAGTCATCAAGGTGGTGAATAGACGAGGTATGTTACTTCCATCTTAATTACTACTCTTTGTTCTGAAAACTGACAGTGTGATACAGTTAATGCAATGTATGGATGTGATTTAACCAGCAAATGTCTTGAAAGTACTAACGCCCTCCTTTCACTAGCGAGCACGTTATCATACCTCGAACGGAGAACACAATTAAGTGTATGTAGACTGAGAATCAAGTTCAAGTGGCTATTTTGACTAATATACATGCAGATATCAACTCAGAACTTGATGAACTGGACCGTGAAGAGTTCTACAGACTCAAAAAGGTAATTTATCCTCTTTTGGCTAAGATGCAACAGTTACTGAATTATGCTATCCAGGTTTCCAACAAGAAACAGAGGGACACTGCGGCTTTAGATGCCGAGATTAAGGCCAAGCAGCAGAAGCAAGGGGCCAGAAACAAAGAAGATGGAGCAGAACCAAGTGACATGCTGGCAGATGCCGATGAAGATGTTATATTTTAGGTTTTTATATATTTTTTTTCGATAGTAGTGAGAATTTAGGAAGGAGCTATATATATGTTGTGATATGCTTGAAATAAAGTATACTTTAATAGATTACTAAATTGAATACCTTTAAGCCGACGTCTGGATACTTAGGTGGCTACTGAACGAACCAACGCCTGAACGACCGTGGGGATCCCCGTAAGAACAAACAGCACTCACTATGATGCCTTGCCCTGCTCCAATTATTGCCTCTGATAGGTGACTTTGATCGGCTTTTCGTTCTCCCCGAGAGCCATGCCAGACGTAGCCTCCTTTGCGCTGATCGCCCCAGATTCATTTTCATATTCAACGAATGCAATACCCTTTCTCCCTGGAACCATACGAACTTCTTTAAAGCCGGGAAACCTTCCAAATATAGCACTCAAACCATCTGCATCGTATGTCTCGGGTAGCTCTCTTAAGAACAAAATCTTGTTTGGGGGCAAATATTCGTCAGGAATGACTGGTGCAGCAGCCGCTCCTGTAGGTTTGAGTCCAGCTCCCTTTTGCGCCTTTGCCGGGCGAGAATCTGGTCCGCCAGCTGTGCCAGCAGCACCAGCAGGTCGTTTTAGCTTCTTCTGGGCTTCCAGGGCCTCCTGTGCTTGCTTGCGTTCTGTTGATGGATAAAACCAATGTCAGTCCCAATTCAAAAGTATAATAGGTATAAACCTCTCCATTTAAGCCAGAGTGCGCACCTTTCTCAGCTAATCTCCTCCGCTTGTGAGCCTCTAGTTCCTCGTCACCTCCTTCTCTCATCACCGTTGCATCACTTTTTGTTTTCGCATACTCCAAAACCATCGGTTTTTCAAAGAGCTCAAAGCCGTTAACCTCATCAATGGCGCGGGTAGCAGAGTCAACATTATCAAACACAATGAATGCTTGACCTTTCGCCTTTAAGTTGGTTTTCGCAACAATCTCGAGGATTGAACCGTACTCGGAGAAGATTTCGGTTAGCGCTTCTTTTAGTTGCTCGACTTTAATTCTTTCTTCTAAATTCCGGACCTATTGGGAGAGAAACAAGCGCACAAGCATCACGGTGTAGGTGGTTAGCGGATGGCTAGAGGTATCCAAAAGGGCAAAAGGTACGTGTGCAAGGCGAGACTAACATAGACACTTCAACGAGTTAGCACATATGATGTCCATTTTTTCAGGGGAAAGGAGAAAACAAACGTTGGATTTGGGGGTATCAATGACCCTGACGCAACTGCAGTGGCCATTTTCCCAGAGCGTAAAGCTTTATTCTCCGTTGTTATCCTCTAAATTATATTGAATATTTGAATCGCCAGTAAACTGGAATGTAGCAATACCGTCGACCGAAGGGCTGTCACGTGATGATAAGAAATTGGATCCACCAGTTAGATCAGCCATGGAACCTACCTATATGATTCACGTGACATGGCCTGACACCCTCTCGGGTATTGTGACTAAGCCATCAGTTGCAATTAGGTAATGCCCGGCGGGTGAGACGATGTAAATAAAGACCTTAGCTATATGCAGCCCGGCTTAGTATAATCTCGTGACTCAGTTGAAGTTTAATAGTTATACGCCAAATAGTTATTAATAGAAAATTAGGCGCTTGCTCGAATATTTCTCACCTCTAACGCTTGCTCAAGCAAATAACTCAGATTATATGATGTCCAGAGGCTTTATCTTGAACATGGTTATTAGTTATTACTCGAATAATTATATAGGTTATGTAGATAATTATATGGAACTGCCTCTCAACTTGAATCACAAGATAGCCTGAACTATGTTATCTACCGTCGCCTTTAGCTGTATCGGCGGCTGCATCCAGTTCTCAGTCTTCAGGGGCTTGTTTCCAGTCTGAATAAATAGGTATTCGCTTGTAAGAGCTCGAATCTTTGCATTCGTCAGTATATTATTAGAATATGGGAAGATAAAATAATTCATACCTTGGGGTAAGGGTGTAGCAGCATTTTTGTCATCTTCGACACTATATTCTTTCTCAGGAGCTCATAGTTAAACAAGCAGTAATAGGCCTTGAGTGCAGATTCAATTCTTGGAATGTTAGCCGACTTAAAATGAAACTTCTGGACGAGGCGGAAGAGCTTCCTCATGGAGCTAGATGAAAGTAGACGTTAGTATGAAATCAAATACTGGCAACAAGAGTTTAATGCAATACATACTCAGGATCCAGCTCCAGTATTTCCGGATTGAAGCAATTTTCAATTAAAAACGCAAGGCTCTCAACGGTGGGTATAGCATAACGATCATCTGTTATACTCTCTTCCAAAACTATAAGCAAGCTCATGAAGATATCCCTCTGCATGCGATATCTAGTGTTGTCATTTTGACTGTTGATGAATTCCACAACAGCAGTACGGGACGAGATGATAAGACTGTCGGCGCCAGCGGTGAGGGAAGTGACGAGCCCCTTTATCAGTGGTAAACGAAGCCATTCGACTTGAACCAGGGTGATAAGCTGTGAAAAGTAAGCAACAGTTGAAACTTCACTGAAATGATCAAACCTCGTTTCCAGAGGAGGAAGGCCCGTATCTGATTCCCAATAAACCTCGAAGCATTTCCAGGCCTTAAATCTGACTTTGTCTAACTTCTCAGCTGCTAGCCTTATGATATGCTTCATCAGATGATGCACGTTTGAATGGCCTATCGGATTTCCCAAGCGAGACGCTAAGATCATGTGTACGCCATTGATTGCTTCAGTCCGTATTAGGGATCCAACGTCACCTCGATTGTCAGTAGTGTAATCATTAAGTAATACACCGATATGACTCTCAAGTTGATCTGTGTTATCTATTTCCAGTTTTTGTAAGCATGCATCTTTAAAGGTGAGAATAAGTACTTACCGAGATACGGGAGTACCCCAGTCAGAATACATCTCACAGCAGAGACACGTTTCACAATTACAGCTTCTTCCGGCCCACTGCAGCGCATTAGTTCGTCAAGAATAAGTTTCCTCTCTCTTTCATCACTTGAAGAGTGCCGATAAACTGCACCCAATGCGGCTATTTGACCACTACCAGTTGTTTTTTTCCGGTTTGATTGGACCTCGCTAAGCCATTCCTGAATGATGGCAGACTTCCTTTCTACAGATAAAATAGCGAATATATCCACTGCAGCCTGGGAACTGGCAGCAACAGCTTCATCGTCACTACGTTGAACACATAGCAACAATATAGTGACTGTCATTTCTAGAGAATCATTATTAAGTTGTAGCCCAAAGCGTGGCACATCGCTTCCAAAGAGAGTGTATGAGCGAGCAAGCGAGGATATCAAGCGCGAGCAAGCCTCTGCTGTTAGGTCTGGCCGATATTCTTGGAGAGTCAAACCTTCCACTGAGGGTCCCGATGAAGAGCTAAATATGCCCCAGAGCTGATGGATTCGTCGAGACAATTCAATCACAGGGCCAGGATCTTCAGGGGTATCGTCTTTAGAGGATTCATAGCGAAGAAATGCGTCAACTGTGGCTGAAAGCGCCAGAAATCCTCCATGTCTAGCTTCAACGGAGTTCGAGGATGTCAAAGACAAGGTATGTAGAATCCTATCCAACACGGTACCTATCCCAGCGTATGACATTTGCAAGCTTAACTCTCCAATAGCAAGAGCTGCCGCTCTTCTTGATTTTGGATCTGGAGCACCAATCCCTCTCCACCGTAAAAGCCCTCCTATGAGTGGTGACCAGTACACTTTATCAAGTTTGGAAGCGGCTATAGCCACTTCTGTCATAGCAAATTCCCTTCGCGCCACGGAGTGATAGTCCACAACCTGAACGATTGATATCCCTTCCGAGATTGAGTCAGGGTGGCGCCCAATCAACTCCTGCAGGGCGGCGGATGAGCCCCTCCGAATATTCCCAGAGGGATCAAGGCAAGCTGAGGAGATAAGTTCTATTGCCAAGCTCCGTAAGAGGCATTTATTTCTGTTTTCAGTTGTGCTGATTTCAACAGAGTCCAGCTCTTTCGTGGAATACTTCCTAGCAAGTGACCAGATTCCAAAACAGGATGCATCCCGAACGGTGACACCAATGGAGGCACCGGTCGACGATCTTTGTTCAAAGGTTAAGCCCGAAACGAGGCATTCAAACAGCTGAAATAACCGATCAAGCGGAGGCGATCTCCGGAATAGTAAGTGTCCAAGTGTGAGCATAAGGCCGTGCCATTTTTGGGCATCAACAGATTTGAAACTCCTCAATATAAGTCTACCCATCATGGACCGGGCCTTTTCTTTAGGTATCAATTCACCGCTCTCTTCCTCATAGAGAACGTCTTCGTCCAATGCACTGATCACTGCATCTAATATATCCGCGCCAAGGTCCGGCTCGAGTTTCAAAGCAATCATGCTCAAAGCTTTGCTAGCTGCAAATCGAACTGGCGTATCTTTGTCACCAACGGCAAGGAGAAAATAATCAATTGTATCTTCTAAGATTGTAGAGACTTCGTTTGAAGAGATCTGTAAAAGGTCCGGCCGCTTCTCTAGTGTTAACGAGAGGGTATTCATTTCACGAAGTATTTTGGTCAATAGTTTTCGAGTGGAGGCTGAGGATTGCACAGTGGCAGACATATCGCAACTCCCTCTAGACAGATCAAGAGCTTGGCTAAATATTGGTCTCACAAACGGTGCAATGTCCTCAACCTGAGCAAGGGTTCCAAGTTTCGCTATGAAAGACAGAAGTCCAATGCATGCAAATGTCGAAGGAGGAGTTATTTCTAAACCGGGCTTCAAATGTCCCAAAGCCCACTCGACAAGTGATTTCAACATCCCAAGCTGTTGCATATCCTTCCTTAATGCAAGCCTCGATAGTAGGAGGACGGCTCCCTCTCGCTCTTTTCCCGGTAAAACTAGGTACTTTAGTGAAATAGATAGGATTGCAAGTGCAAGCTTTGGGGTCTTGGAAGAGAGATCCGAGAACGGTGATAGGTTCTGGTAAGGAATTGAAATATTTTCTGACGAAATGGAGGTCAAGTCAAAGGGTGCCAACAAAAGATGAGACAGCCATAGAAGCATAACATATCGTTCTTCCCAGTTAAGCGGCAGGCCCTGTCCGGTCGTAGTTGACCTGTTTATGTCTGCGCTGACAATGCTATCCCACTCAATAAACATTGAAAGCATGGGTTCGAGATACTTCGGTTCATTGCTGAACAAACGAGATATTACCTTCGGGCCTCGAACCTTGCATAGGGTATATATAATTTTGCATATCGCCCGTGCTAGCGGGTAGATCATTTCTGGCTCTTTAATTTTAGTGACAGAACCATAACTATGACCATGGCCAAGAAGGTATGATAAAAAAGCATCCGTCAGGTGCGTGAGTATCCAGTTAAGGTGAGGATCTAACAGTTGTGGCCACTCTTGGAACGGGTCCAACTATCGATGTTAAATTAGAATTGTTCGCGCAAATATATACAACTAAGATGTCAAGGAGCAACTAACTAGGAGGATCAACTTCTCTACTTTCGCTGCCCTTGCCCAACGGTGAACTACTCGTTTTCCGGAATTAGGGTGTTTCCACAGTAATGGAGGAAGTTTCGTCCTAAATTCTTCAATCAGCTCGCCAGACGCTCGCTGAAGCTCAATGTCACGATCATGCACAGCATCCATTTTTGATATCCAGATGATGTTTGTAACACTGGAGCTTGCAACTTGCAGCTGGGTTTTGTTAGGCACTTTTGGCCTTTAGCGGCTAACTCGTCGTTAACTGCTTAGTCATTGGTTTTAGCGTCGGGTCCGCTGCCGACTTGTCAGGTGACCACCAATTTTAGGTTAAAGCTTATGTAATGGGGTATCATCCTTGGATTGGATTGGTGGAGTCAATCGTTTAATCGAAGCATGAACCTAGCCGCGCGGTAATTAAGGAACTTCCTACAGAAATGAGGGGCCTTAAAAGTAAATTTTATTAATATTCAGCTGATATTGTTGTCCAATCATCAACAAAGAGTTCTATAGTGCGGGGGTTATAACTACATGAAATTAGAACTCTAGCATCCCAGAAGCAGTACTGTACCTTTTAGAGCTGAGTATTGTTGGTTGTTGTCTATGCGCTCTCGAATATGCCTCAATTATATGAATATTATATGAGATAACTAACTAGGTAATATTGCGGTCTGGGAAGCAACAAAGAGCGTAATTGAGGATTTACAGTCATGAATAATCCTGGTAAAGGACCACTCGAATTACCATTTAAGGCCAATTCATAAATCTTCATCTGGTGGATCAGATACTGAATCAGCCATCCACATCACGTCCCCTGTGCCCTCTTGTTCACACTGAGCTATTGTCTTCCTCATCCGTGCCGCCGCAATCGCAATAGCTAATGCGTTCCAGACATCTTGGCCATATTCAGAGAAATCGAAGCGGGACATCAGTCGCCCGCTTACTTTGGCGTCAAGTGTAGGAAAGGTCTCGGGGTCAGAGTCAAGTGTCATCAACACCACCACTGGCCCACAGATTAGATACCCTGTGATCACTGGGAAGGTGCGGTCTTGGTATTGTGGGCAAGCCTCAATATGGTCATCGGCTCCGTCATCGCTTTCTATGCTTGGGGTCAGGCGCCAGGCATTTTGATAATTCTTAGCCACGGCAACAAGTTTTGAGTTCATGATATTAACTGCATCTCTGGTGGTCTGATTGGGTTTGAGGGTATATACGGAATAAGGGGGTGTAAATCGTGGCCGCTTCTGCATGTCAATGTCGCGTAGAGTCCACTGAAGATAAGTGCACAAGTATTGCTTGACCACTTTCTCTGGGGGAAGATGGCAAGTGATGCGGTCCCTGACACGTCCACCCAAGGTAATAAGATTGTTAAAGTATTTCATACCTAAAATCTTATCAGTCATTATAGTAGCATTCTGACGGGTTGTCCGTACCTCGAAAGTCGTTCCTGCTAGATATATATGCAGTATGATCGTTTACAGGCTTGAAAAGCGAGCCTGGTAGGGTCATGAAATCCATCTTCCAGCTGTGAGGTAGTACTGGCTCAAACCCACGCATTGCCAGCCGGAAATACATATCTCTCTCTGCGTCAGCCCAATTCCCAGACGGACCCTCTACTGCAGCAGCCCATCTCCTTGCTTTCTCCATGCAAAATTCAATGTCCAAGTCACGCTTTATCTCCCTTTTGGTTGAATATTTGGAACCATATATCTCTTCTTCACTGAGATCACTTTCATGGGCATCGCGGCGAACAATTTGCTTTAAAAGATTTTTGTCGACAATCTTGGGGGATGGGCGATAAACTTCCGCGTTAGATAAACGTTGAGACGGATTCCTTTTTCGATGCTGTTTGGAACGTGGTGTCTGTAACACTGGTGTGTCTGTCTTATCTTTTTCTACTTCAGTCGCCTCATCAAAGACTCGTTGATGGTCCTCGAGAGACACTGAAGACTCAATATCCTCACTTCCAGAGGAGGTATCAGAAGCAGAGGTTGAAAGATCGTCTCTGCTTAGACTGGACTTGGCCTTGCTGCCCTGTCCATCTTCAATGAGTGTGCTACCATCCAGTTCACTATCATAGCCAGAAGACGGGCAAAAACCCTTCTGTAATGAGGGCTTAGGAGGTCGTAGATATATCCTCAATCGTTTTGAAGGTCGTTCCCTGTCGATAAGAGACGAGCCACCATCATCTGAGTTAGCAGTCCTTCCATGGTTTTGGCCGAATTCCCCTTTCTGCACGGTCCTACGCTTCCGTCCAGCACTAGGCGTTTCTGGTGTTAATGGCACGAGACTTTGGTACTTATTTACCTTAGCCTTGAGAGGCTGTCGGTTGCGTCGTAGTCTGCCAGAACTTGGAGGAGATAGCATGGTATGAATAAGGCGATTTCTGGGTATTGCTTCACAGACAGTGTTTATCTTCTGGTTTTGATAGGGTATATTCTGCAGGGTAATAAAAGCAGTGAAATTTCGACATATGCTGGACAGGTAGTCCATTTTTGCGACAGTCTGAGAATCAATTCTTTATAGATGGAGAATTGATCAATTTGCAACAAAGGGCTTGATTCTTTCAAGGTCTGCCGGGGAAATCTTGGATCTATGGCCCTTGTTTCTACTACGGTAGAACCCGCAGAAGACGAGAGTGCCAGCAGTTAGCCAACCAGGAGGATGAAGAACGAAACAGACGTGAAGTGTAGTCAAAATAGCCGAATCGGGTAAGTGGGACTTCATCCGTATAAAAACGGCCTGACTTCCTTTATTTCTGACATGTCGAAGGAAAATGGAGAGTTCACAGGCTTTCTGAGCCATTAGTAAATAGTTAAGGAGCTCACTTTGATTCCTCGGCATCTCGCTGCATCCAAGATGCCAGGATGGCTGAGTTGTCTATGATATAGTGAGACTTCGGATGTTTGTACTGCTCACTTCGAGTGTTCAAAGAAACACTAGATAGCAAAATCAAGTTAAGAACATTCAAGCTATCATTGGTTAGTTCAGCTCCAACATTTTCATGAACAGAGGTAGAAAAGAGGATATGTACGGGTCGAAATGAGGTGAAAAGAAAACAACTAGAGTACTCCCACAAATCTCGCTTTTCTTCTCAGTCTTGTCACTGCAAGAATGACAACTTTATCCTCCTTACATAGTGATCGATCATATAATAATGGGTATATCGGACAATTAACTTTACTATACTACTGACCAAGGGTATTATGAAGATAGGAAACAAGAATGAGGAGAAATAGCATCATTATAGAAAAGTTCGAGGAAACGGAGCAGGAGAAAGAGGAAGTGTGTTGATGCCGCATGAAGACCATTTGAAAGCGGCTACATACCCCCAAACCTCAAGTATGCGCGAGAAAGAGTAAAAGGCAGAAGACAAAGAAGTGTGTACACACGCTTAGTCACAGTCTACAAAATATGAAAAGCCACGGAATTCTTCTTGCATCGCTTGAGTGAGAACTATTACGAACATGTTAGCTTGAGTTACGCTAGAGCCGAAGGACAAAGGGCACTTACCAGACTGAACTGGAGTGAGAACAGGAGTGACACTTGTGAACTCTTGGTCGAAGTTACTCGTATCAGTAGGGCTGGTGATCTTGGGGAAGAAGGGCGGCGGAACACGCTTATGGTAAATGTCATCCCAGTTAATATTCCGGAAGAAGGGGTGGGACATGATTTCCTGGGCATCAGTTGGTCCGGATCCCAATCTTAGTTCTGGCTCACGCGTCAACAGCTTCTGAAGAATTGAGACAGAGTCCCGCGGCATGTGGATGGGGTAAAGAGGTTCATCAGCAAGAATTGCGTCGTAGATTTCGTCCTCATCCTCTCCTCGGAAGGGCGACTGCTGAAGCAACATCTGGTAGATTAGAACGCCAAAGGCCCACCAGTCAACGGCTCTACCATATTTCTTGTCCAGGAGAATCTAAAAGTGGTCCATTAGCGATGATCCAGTGACTGAGAATGAGTTAGAAGGGATAACATACCTCTGGCGCCATGAACTCGGGAGTTCCACAGAATGTACTCGTGGTACTACCATACCACATCTCCTCCTTACACAGACCGTAATCGGCAATTTTAAGATGCCCATCTAGCGATAATAGGATGTTATCGAGCTTAAGATCTCGATAAATGACACCATTTTCATGGAAATACTTCAAAGCCAAACAAACTTCGGCAGCATAGAATCTAGTAAGAAGTGGTTAGTTAGGACTCATTTATGTAACTGGGGTTAGAGGACACTCACTGAGCTCGTTTAAGACCAAATTGACCACGTTGAATATGCAACATTAGATCACCACCACTGATATACTCCATAACGAAGTAGACACGAGTCTCTGTTTGGAAACAGGCGTGGAGATTAAGCAGAAACGGGTGACGTTCCTTGTTGGCAATCAAAAACACTCGTTTCTCTGACTTGGTGCTTTCCACTTCGTCATTTTCAATGATGAATTCCTTCTTCAGGACCTTGATAGCATAAAGCTTTTTGCTCGTCTTCGATTCTGCAAGCATGACTTTTCCAAAGTTTCCTTTACCAAGAACTGCAAGGAAGTTGAAATGATCCAATCCAATCATAGCACCAGCCTTCTTTTGGGGGTGTGCAGAAGTGGGTGGTGGCACTTGATCCTTCGTAGCAAGAGCTGATGGGTGGCCAGCAACAGGGGCTGGCTGCTGGTGTTGCTGCTGATGCTGCGGGTGCGGTGGGTGCTGTGGATGTTGCTGCTGTTGCTGCTGCTGATGCTGCTGGTGAGGTGGTACCATAGGATACTGGTGTCCTGCGGGCTGGTGACCGACTTGGATTGGAGGGAGTTGGGGTGCTTGGACACGCGCATAGGCTCCAGGGTCGTAGTGAGAATGTGGTGGTGGCTGCGGCTGTTGCTGCTGGGGCAACCTAGATTCGCAGTTAGTACATGAGGGCTCTTCAGCGATGACTCTGGGATGGTTTGAAAGCGGTTTATCATACCCTGTCTGCTGTGGCATTGGGCGCATGCCTGTCGCCGCCGCCGCCGCGGCAGCAGCGGCAGCGCTTGAAGGGCTATGTGGAGAGGCAACGGGGCGTCCTGGAGAAGTTGGAGATTGTGGAGGCATGTATGAAGAGCTGGCTGCACTGACAGCTTCTGCTGAAGGAGACATCATTGGTGCGCCGTAACTGTCTTGAGATTGCCGATGTCCACCTTCAATAGGTGCAGGCTTGGGACGAGGGGGTTTGGTTGAACCACCACTTGTCCTATTGGTATTTCTTGCTTTGATAATAGTCTCCAGGATTTGGTTAGCTACCTCCATGGACATCCCGCAGAAGTCAGGCACCAGGTGAGCACAGTTAGCATGACAGGTAAGGGAGCATTCTATTTATACTAGTTAGTACACCTGTCTTGTAGATAGGTGAGAAGAAATGGTGATACATACCGGAACATCGTTTGGCATTCTTCCTTCCGAAAGGCAACAAATAACCGCAGTGGCAGCACCAATTAGCAGAGATGTTGGAGTATCCCTCGAACCTATGAGGAATGCGGTGGTTGATCTTCTCCTCATCCGGATCGGTCTCATAGTTTGCCTTGCTAATACACTTGGTCACAACTTTAGGGTAGCACTTTCGGTGACAGGTATACTTGCAGTCAGAGCACTGCATACCCGCTGCATATTTGAGAAAATCACCACAAAGAGCGCACCGCATAATGTTGTAGAACTGCTGGGTAATGAATTTGTGACCTTGCTTCTCATGGACCTCTTCTTTCTTTTGACGGACGGCTCCTTGACGGTTGAGACCGATATCAAACGGTCGCCTATCCTTGAGTTGTTTGGCTATTAGGCTTACTGTTAGTATAGTTCCCATTAAATAAAGGGTTTCATGTGCTTTGATATATGAGAAGTAGAGGCAAGGACAGTATTTCAACAAAGAAATTCTTACCAAAGCTCATCGTAAGGTGTATCCTCCCCACGGGCTCCAAAGCAAACCATGAGTCAACCATGACTGTGGCATTTTGACCGATAGGAGCTTGCCCTGGAGGTTGAGTTCTGGCGGGCTGGCTAGGTTGGAACGAGCTTCCCTGGAACTGCGTATCTGGCCTGATGGCTCCATGATCCATTTTATCAGCAGAAACCCATCCGGAGGCATTGAATTCTGTCTCGATCTTTTTGCGGCGCATCTCTTCCGCAATATCCGAAATCCGTATCCAGAGCATACCAATAGGCGTTGGTCGGTCACCGGACTTATCATACACAGTGAGTTCAATCTCGTTTGCCTTGTCAATGTCCACGTTAAAGGTTTCTTCAGTCCATTTATCTGACCTAGTAGCCCGGGTTTTGGCTTTTACTGCATCTTCAACTTTCATGATCACAAACGTTTCCGGGCCCCGTGAAAATCTAGATCCAGCAGCATGGTCAACGTCTCTAACAGCATGGATTTTCATAGTTAGATGACCGGTCAGAGGCTTGCGCATGTTGGGGGCATTCAAACTGTCATCTAAGCAGTGGGTTAGTAAAGTCCAGAACGGAAAAAGTGACCATAACGCATTGAGGAATATTCTAACCATCCGGATGATCTGATGCACTCTCAATATCAACATGAAGGTCCTCATATCGTTTCAAGGCCTGTTTTAGCAGCTGGATCTTCTGGTTGCTCTCGATACGCCTGCCTTCTGCATCTGCTCGGCTTTTTCGATCACCCTCGTCTTGATAAAGCCGCACCATCTTCTCGATACCAGCCTTGTACTGTTTCTCAACACTTAATTTGAACTCGAGCTGTGACAGCATAAGCTGAATCTTAGGTCCCAAATATGGAGTATCATATTTGATCAAATCTACAAAACCAGCACCAGTCAGCAAAAGATCATATATATTATAAAGTGCAATAGCAAAGCCGGAACTGGGTAGCAAGAAACGAACCTAACTTGCTAAAATTTGGGCGTGCTTTGGGCATGGCGGAGTCCGGACGGGGGTCGTGGAAAGGTGCTCGGGGAGGCATCATGCCCGTTCCACCCTGGCTGTAACCTCCTGGGCCAACATCTCCATAGCCACCCTGGTCACTGCCACGGTATGAGGAGCCGACGTCCTTTGGGGGTAAAGGCGGGCCGTCACCAGGGCCTCGCGTCGCGGTAGGAGAAGTATTTCCACGGCCCATCTTTCGAAGCTGCAGCTCTTGCATCTTCTCCTCGAGATAAGCAATGTTCTTCCGTCCATCCCGTATATTGGCGTCCACTCGCTGCTGTACGAGTGGGTTATCAGTAGACTGTCTCATATTTGTTGCGGCAGCAATGAGGGCCTTCTCGCGATCGATTTTGCGATACACGGTGGCGATGAGCTCGTCGTCGCCCTCCATGTTTGCGGTATTGGAGGAGGAGACGGCTTTATAGTCGCTTCTAATAGGTTTGTAGGACTCGTCTGAGTTGCCGGTTCAGCTAAGATAAGACGAGCGTATTCCCGCAGTGTGTGTTGTGGTCTTGTGTCTCGGGGTGCGGGGGGGCTAGGAGAGCGAACAGGGTCTCCGAAAGGCCCGGGGCGGCAACGCAAGCGAGCTGTTCAGCCAGATCAGCGAGAGATCGTGAAGAAGGGAAGACTGTGCAATTGTATGGAGGAGAGAGTCTGTGCTTGGGACGGAGATCATGCGCTTCTGGCAGGCGTCATGTACCTCCCGCTGTCGTGCAAGATGGGTGCTTGAGTGACGTTTTGTATGTAACTGGACAACACCAACCGAGCGACTGGCCACTACGACAGCACCGCGAGAGAAGAGCGTTGTGCAGCGATGCCAGCTGCCGTTCCCGCGTCCGAGGAGCGATGAAGAAAGCAAAGGGAAGTTGAGGTGCGCCCGTTGGTGGCTCTTAGGCGGTCATCTCGGGGTCGCGAGCCAGCTGAGGGTGGTTTGACGTTGGGTGGTTTTTTCTCGCTCTCTTGGGACTAACTTACAACTTAGTTTTAACTAACTAGTCAGCTAGGGAGGGGGAAGGGAAAGAGCCGCAATATTTTCGTGGTGGGGAGTGTATAACTATTATCTGCGCTGGGCCCACGCACGAAACAGAGCAGAGAGCAGCAGCAGCAGAAGAAGAAGAACGTTGTGAGGTAGAGAGTAGCAGGTACATGTAGTCAGTGGTCTCTGGGCATCTGACTGTAGAAGATGGCCGCCCAGCGGTAGTGGTGGGTGGTTTTTGTTATGGCTTCGACGCGGTAGGGCTGCCCAACCCCTGAATCGCTGCATAAACAGTTAGGTGTCCTGTCTAGTTATCTACTGGCCCCGAAGGGAAACAAACACACATCGGATATTGAACGAGCCCTGGAATAGTAAAAAGCGCCTCGCCGTCTATACTCCTGGTACTATGTAGACACACGATGCCCAAAGACAGCCGCCTGCTATTCAAGGCTCAAATGGCAGGCGAATAAGTTAGTTACTGCTTAACTACTCCGTACGGAGTATACATAGAGAGCTTGGTTCCATTTTAGCAAGAACAAAGATCAGCGGGCTAGTTAGCGAGGCTTCGGCAGCTTCACCCTCGCCGAAGCAAGACCCTCTCCTTTTCTGTCTTCCATATCGGCGTGCATTATAGTACAGTTACCCGAGGTTTGTCAGGAGGAGAATCGCAGGAGTAAAGAACCTGCTTCCGACAAGCTCACTGGCATGGTCTCGGAGCTTGTGCCGTAGGAGAGAGCTAGATAAGTGATCTTCCGAAAGCCCTTGTTGACCATATAGTCCAACCCAACGGGGAAAGGGTACCGAGATGCCATCCGCACGGATAGCGCTATCTATCACATCACTGCCCAGCGTCGCCTTAGTCTGTCCTTCTCTTTCGAACACAACCGCCTATCATCAACTTTTATCTTCGTCTTCGTCCTTTTATCTCGATATAAAAGGGGGGTTGGTCTCAGGGTCGAAGATTGTCTATGCACGTGACCACTAGGGCGCCCGGGCGGGTGTTGCCGGCCAAAAGAGTCCGTGGAAGCCGCAAAAGCTCGAAGATCAAAATTGAAAGTTATCTGGTCGTTCACTAACTAGCGAACCGACTGACTGACAGTGACGGGCTCGGTATTTCAGAAATATGGGTAAGCCGAGGAGAAAGATGCTGGCCACGGCCGAAGAGACGCTCTACCCACCACCAGCACTCGAGGAAGGACAGTCAATCGCCCGAGTCGTCAAGGCAACAGGAAACAACATATACTCCGTCGAACTGCCATCCAAGGAGTCAATACTGGTTGAACTCCCAGCACGTTTCCGTTCTACTATCTGGATGAAACGAGGCACTTTTGTCGTCGTAGATTCCACAGCGTTAGAAGAGCGAGATAACAAGCTGTCTGGAGAGATTGTGAATATAGTTAGGGACGACAAGGCATGGAGAAAGGCAGATTTCTGGTTCGTCTCAAGCTTGTAATCCATTATAGATCAAGTAGAGTGCTAATATAGTGTCTTTCGTAGGCCAAAGGAGTTTGTGAAGAAAGTCGTCGAGGACAGTGATGACGAAGAGTCCACCGTTGGAAAACTCCCTCCCTCAGACGACGACGAGGTGTGATCGACCGTTAATTTTGATTGTCGATAACGTCTTTTGTTTCAGCCTTGAGCTTAGCTGGCCTTTGTTCTTCACATTGCACCCCCCAGAACACACCTAGGACCTGAATTGCGAGACAACCCACTACCATCGTCGAGCTCGCGTTTGTGCTAGGATAGATGTTCCATGCCCATTCCTGCGCAGCCCATAGGATGAGCACAAGAACTGGGTGGAAACTGCTTTTCCACAGTATCAGGGGGGTTGTCCACACGAGATACGCATAGAATTGGTAGTGCAAACTCCGTGCACAGAGCAGGCCGATAACCACGGATGTCATCATGGTTGTAGCAATGTAGGAGTTCGATATATTGCGTTGCAGGTTTCGTCCACGGAATGCTTGTTGTACCAAAGAACCAAGGTCCATTTTTGCGGGACGAGTCCAGACAAAGGCCAGGAAAGTCACCAGCAAAGATATGTGCACTGCTAGCAATGCAACTGAGAAAGGTCTAGACAAGAATACATCTTCCCCGATAAACCGCCAGTTCACTGTCCACTTGAACAGGAACTGTCGAGTAAACTCAAACGCCCTTGTCATGTAGCCTGTTGGGTTCTCTAGAAGGAAAGGCAGGCCAAGTAAGATCTAGAATAGAATAAATTTAATTATCTTCTTCAATAATAATTTATTCCCCATGTGCAGAGGGTAACGAAAAATAACATACCTGTACCAATACGAAGAACACACCCATCCCCAACGCCTGCCCAAATCCTACAGCAAATGTAAGGATAACCGCGATTGCAGGAGCAGCAAGCAATCCTGTCATTTTTATACTTACACTCAGCGTCCATAGCAGGACAGCGGCATACCACTGTCGTTTAAGCATCATATACATCGCTAGCCAGATAAAACCTGCAGCGGGGCCATCATTAAACATCCGCAGCATGAAAATACTGTGCAATCTTTTCGAAAGCACGAGAAGAGGGTATATATATGGCGGAGCATGTACTGCTCTATAGCATGCCATAACAATTGCCAGGAATATAAGATATAGGGCCGCAAACAGCGTCTGCGCAAGCGGGATATCACGTCCCTCGTCTGTCACATTATATAAAGCGGTATATGCATAGACATGGCCGGCAGGGTAGACGAGACGTCCCGTAGACCCTTTAATCGCCGTGTAGTCTCTTTCACCGGAAAGGAACAAGTGTATGTGTTGCATGTAGGTAGACCAGTCGATTTCGGTGTCTGATTTGAGCAATCTGTCAGCTAATGGGGCACCTTGAGGGGGCGTAAATCCTACCGGTAGCGATAAACTCAGGACTCACATGGCACTTTAAGTATGATAGCAGCACATAGGCATGCATCGAACGCTAGCAGCAGCGGACAAATCCATCTTGAGTGTTTGGGGTTCGTGAGAAGGTCTAGCACGGCAGTATATAACCGGCTCATAGCGAGAGCAATCGGAAGTTTTGGTATGTGTAAACTGTTCGACGTTAGAATAGGCTGACCGTTTTCATAGCTTCTAAGTCAACGAGGTTCCAATTGATATGGTAGCACCGAGTCTTGCTGTGGTAAATCAACAGTCAATATTTTCTTTTGGGTTGGTTGGTAACTAGTTAGTGAGCTCAACAACGAACCGACCGCGTCAAGACGGAAGCTCGAAGCTTAACTAACTAGTTTAACCTGGAGTTAGCACCTTTTTATACTTAACATTTAGGTATCTACTGTGAGCCGAATACCACGAACACTACGGAGTAGGACCACCAGTTATAGATTCACTGTGGCTTCTGATAGTAGCAGTGCATCTTTAACCATACCGTTTAGTTGATAGAAGCTCTGCCGCGTTTATTACAATTTAATAAGCGATGGTAACGTTTCTTATAACAATAGGATCTTGTGCAATAAAATAGTAATTAGTATAGATACGGGTATATTTCTGGACATGTAAACAACGTAAACATAAGCTCATAAGATGGGAACCATGGAAAAGAGTCTCATATTAGTATGTTCAGGCAAGTTCATGAACGATTGTTTGGGGCTCCGCTGGGAGTTCGACCACCCTGCCACCCCCTTCAAGCTCTGCAGAAGGCCCATAACTAACACCGTCCAGTTCTACTCTCCGATTAGTAAAAGTTGGCTCAAGTTCTGCTGGGTGCGAGCCGCTTCTATACGGGGGTGTGCCTCGGGGAGTATATTCGGGAACTGTATTATGTCCATCGTCGCCATTCAATTCCAGTATACCCTTGGGCAGAGGGATATTATTGTCGTGTTCTTTCCAGGACTTTTGCTTTGGTTCAACACCCACAACCTCAATGATCAGCCGATATCGCTTATGCAACTTCTTCTCTTCCTTCTTGTCGATTTCCCCTCCACCTTCACCATCTTGTGAGCGATCTTTCCCTTTTGCCTTTTTCTTTGCACCAAAGGACATGAAATCAAAAGTTCCGCTGCCAGATTTAGAGCCTTCTTTTGTCTTTTTCCTGGGAAGAGCCAGTCTGACGTATATTCCTCTATTTTTAAAGGCGGTATTATTCCAGCGTTTCAAGACAGTGACCAATTCCCCTTCTTCTTGCAAGTAATCCTTGACTTTGGTCTCGATGGACATGGCATTCACGGCCTTTCCAGCATAGTAGCCTGGCGCAGCACCAAAGACCAGCAAGGGCACGGCGCTTACGAGGCCAACGCTTATTCCAACAGTCCAGGCAGCGATTTTCTCTGCTGTCGTAAGCGCAAACGCCTCTACCATCTCATCACTGAACTGCTTCCATTCGGCAGGGGGGACATTGTTCTCAAATAAGCGCTGGTGGTATAGGAACCCGGACTCGACGGTAGCTTTGATTGTTGGGACTTCAAATATGTTTGGATTTGATTCCAAGAGCGTTCCCGGGGTAGACGTTGAAGGTGACGTTGGCGATGACGAAGACCAAGACGTTGGCGATATGGGCTTGGGTGAGTGACACCGGCGTGGCTGAGCTTTACCACTCTGGGACTCGTCACTTCACAGAAGCATTGTTAATCTCGTAGTCAAAGAATTGACTGACACGTTTATCAAATGCTAAGGGCGTCACTAACTCCGAAGACTCTCGATATGGCCGCGAAGTGGAAATTCCCACCTCCTACCATCCGTAAGTTCCCGCATTAGCGATATCCTCCATATAACTATGTTACTCACAGTGGGATGACATTAAGCCTACCTTCTGCTCCATTGTGTATGAGTTCGCTCCTCGTTACTCGTCTCACGAGTTGAACAACGAGCTAACGAATATGTATTGTGGTAGGTATAATCCGTTTCCTCAGAGGACAATGACCAATTCAGAGAGCCAAAGTCCAGCCTTGCCAGGTCAGAAGGCCGAATTTCATATCGTCTCAGAAGTTAGGGAAGATGGGAATTCTTTGTCCCCCGAAGGAGCCGGCGCAACTCTTCTTATTGTTGGCCTGAGCCTTAGCTTGACGGCATGATTTTTAAGCCCAGTACGTCACGGACGATAATCCCAAGGGTGATGGAAAAAAGAAAAATAATCCGCACGGCATGGCTATCTTGTGTCAAGCTGCTGTTTGATATATCCCCTATCATCATCGTTACTAATTCTGTACGTAGGCCGGCGAAATAACTATCCATGTCGAGCCGGACAAGGCTAGAAAGCAGTGCTCTGGCGTGGAGGAGTACATACTTGCTGCATCTCGAAGAAGTTAACTGATACTCAAATTGTCCATTTTGTCCAGAGTAAGTTGATCCTTCAAGAAACAACTTCCTTGGCTTCTTTGTCCTTAATCTGCCAATTTTGGCTGGATTGGATCGTATTTGAAGACTGGGGAATGAATCTGGTTGCTGGGATTGGCTGATGAAACAGCCGAGACGCAGGCCAGAGCTGCAAGGCTGGCTGGCTTAACTAGGTGTTCCGTAGTTACGTTTATCAGATTGAAGACGGAGAGTCTGTACAGCCAAACTGCAGGCAGGCTGTCTCTTCTTCCTTGCATCGTATCTCCTGGATGATGCTATATACGGAGTACACGGACGGGGGTCGTGGTATTACTAGGACTGCGCGGAGTTGTTGGTGTTGCTCATTGGGAAGGCTTCCGCTTCCGGCCCGCGCGCGCGTGACACAAAGGCCACCACCGGCCGCTCCACTCCCAGCAGTCCTTGATGGTCTAGTGGTCATGATTTCCGCTTGTCAATTCTCGCTGAGAATAACAAGCGCGGGAGACCGGGGTTCGATTCCCCGTCAGGGAGTTCTTTTTTGCCTTTTTTTTTTTTTTTTTTTTTTCATCATTCTTGCCGTGACAAGGAAAAAAATAGAGTGGTGTGATAAATTACCGTAGTTATTCCCGATATCATTCTTCGAGTCGACTACTCGGGCAGCCTCTTCAACTATAAGGCGTTAAAAACATAGAGCCAAAGCAGGCGGGTGTAATAGAGACCTTTTTCCTTATAGACTTTGTAAAAAATAATGGCGCTCCTTCAGGGACTTGAATAATATTATAAGGGCTTAAGGACATTTAGCAAGCTTGATATCAATGGACTAGCCTGGATCTATTGAATTTAACCACTTTAGGTTCCTGAAAGAGGGCAGAAACCGATTAATAGGGAAAGGGTACTTGGTTGCAATGATTTAAAGGGTTCTCAAGGCGAAGTCAAGGAAGGGGAAGTGAAAATGCTACCAGTGCATCAAACCATGAACAGCCGAGATCTATTCGCGCTTCTTCATTGTGTGGGTTGCATAGGACAGACACTAGCAGGGAAACGCAAGCCAGAGGAGGTTACTCGATCCAAGTTGGCTGAAGAGGATAAACTGATTAACAGACAGCGACCGTAGATGAAATATATTCTAGGTAATATACATAGATACCTATCAAACTAGTTAGTGAACTCTCACTTGCGTTGTCAAACATAGTTGAGTATTGGGTTGGCCATAAGTATAACATATATCACTTACTTTATAATTTAACGCCAACCTCTGGACAACTTTGGTATTTAGTGCCCTTCAACCGTTATATGACGTTAAAGATATAAGCTGACCACATCACTCTGTGTTTCTCTTCCACTGGATATCAGTATGGGGGGGCTCTGCTTTCAATTGATCACTTTTATCCGCACCGAACCCGAGAAGTTGGCCGAGGATTCCCTTTGGCTTCGGTACTGGACACTCTCGCGCAGTTTTCCCAAGCTCTTTCGCCTCTGCCTCCATGTGCCTGAACTCCGCTGCTTGTTCCCGTAGTTCTCGTCCAACTGCGGGTGTCTGATCCATGATATTCGTGGCTGCAGAGCCGAGTACCGAATGTCCGGCCAATTGATCTGACGATGATAATCCAGTTTCATCGGGGGAGGAGACTGGTTCCTTCCGTCTTCTCTTACGCCTTATCTGCTGTCCATCTGCGGTGACTATAATCTCCGAGTCGGCCAGTGCTCGTCGTGGAGCAGGACAAGGAAAGACATGTGGTACGCCAACTATTAGAAGGGATGCGAGGAGTGTTGCTGTGAAGAGGGACATGGTCGACCGCGACCGCGGGTGGAGATGTGAAGACATTCTTGATCGGAGGAGTTTAGCAAGAGCGTAGGTACTGTTATATGGTGGTATATGTCTTCGAATGCTCCATAGTCTTTGACTCCTTGCGCGATGAGGGTGTGGTGGATGGAGGTTCTTGGAGGCGTCCTGCACCGGTCAATTGCGAGGATAAAACAGCCAACCGGCTTAGTAAAGGCTCGTATATTCAGTCAAGCGTGTTCAGATGGCCGTGCAGGTCCTGCTGATGGGACAATGGCTGATGGCTGGGTGTCTTCCTGGTGTTCAGACGCCTGGAAGCCTTTCAAGTTGGAACTTTTTTCGCTGCAGCCAACCACAAGCCAAGTAAAAGTGAGCAGCACTCACGTGATCATACCCTGTCGCCCGCCGGCGGGTGAGCGTGGAGGGTGGGCTCTGGAGGGCGCTTAACAAAGCCCTTTGATTGAAGACAAAAAAAATATATGGTAAAAGACGAGAAAAGGCATGATATGAGGAGAAATTAAGAGTACCCGTTCGTAGTACGCCGAATGTCCAGGAGTGCGCGAGCCTTGTTCCGTCGTCTTCTTTCAAGCAAGAGGCAGGCGTTTCTGTCTGGGTCCAGATGTACGAGCATTACCGCTCCTCCTAAACAGCATTCACTTGCAAGCAGCTTGGTGAGAAGTATGACTCTTCTGCAGACCGCTGAACGCCCTATGCGTCGCTTATCATACGCAGGGCCATGTCTGGCGGGCGTGTTGATCTCCTAAGCGGCGCTTGGTAGGTTTGCCGGGAAGCCTTGGGTCTTAGTTATCTTATCAATCGCGCCAGCCGCCTGACTAACTAACTGGAAAAGCGGCTAGTGAGCTCGTTAAACCACGGATCCCAAACCAACCTCGCGTTTTTCTTCGCCACCGATGCTGCGTAACTGGCCTGCCTACCCCAGATCAACCAGCAGATGCACATTCCCTGCATTTCGTGCCAAATTAGGTTCCATAAGCTTCGTGTGCGTACCGAGCATCCGTTTATCCCGTTTCCCTGCGATAGAAAGATGAGGTCCACGGCTCTCCCGACATAGCAAAATTCAAGTCCGGAAACCACCCCTCGTGATATCGTCACCCACCCCCTACAGGGCACAATAACAGGGGACGAGGATCGGAAAGCCTTCAGCGCTAGAGCAGCTGTCAGAAAACAAATAGACGCCGTTGGATAGTCACACGGGGGGTGTTTGTGCGGTCCTCGCCTGACAGATGAGCGACCTAGACAAGTATATCGGCCTTTTACCCGTCCTACCGCCTTGCTCACCTCTACTGACTTTGCTTTTCTCTTTTTTACCCCTTCTAGAGCCATTGCGCAGCTGCGCTCCTGTCGCCCTATCCCCGAATACCAAGTGCGAGAGCTCTGCTACAAAGCTAGAGAGATATTAATTGAAGAGGGAAATGTCGTTTCAGTGGATGCACCCGTTACCATCTGTGGGGATATCCATGGCCAATTCCATGACTTAATGGAACTTTTCCGGGTTGGAGGCGATGTACCCGACACCAACTACTTATTCATGGGCGACTTTGTCGACCGTGGCTTCTACTCTCTCGAATCTTTCCTCCTCCTCCTCTGCCTCAAGGTTCGATACCCAGACCGCATGACACTCATCCGAGGTAACCACGAATCGAGACAAATCACGACAGTTTACGGATTTTATGACGAATGCATTAGAAAATACGGCAATGCCAATGTCTGGCGGTACTGTTGTGAAGTATTTGACTATTTAGCGTTGGGTGCCTTGGTTTTGGGAGCAAGCACAGAGTTGTCGTCTTCGGGCCCAGTGGTGGTTCAGCCTGGCGCTGTAGGAGAACATCAAGATACCCAGCCTTCTTCGAATGCGGCAATAGATGATGATGATGAACTGGAGATCGAAGTGTTGAACTCAAAGGGTGAAGTCACGTTGGCCTCCTACAGAAAGAGGAGTCGGGGATCCAATAATATTGCACATGATATCAGAGACGTCTCACCGCCGAGAGACATATCATCCATTCCTAGCAATACGCCTACTCGTACTGGGCCTGCGGGGACTGGTGCTACCGGAGACAGTCTGGGCAGCATGTCCAGCAATACCGGAGCAGTACTCTGTGTTCATGGTGGCCTTTCCCCTCTAGTAGATAGTGTTGATAAAATTCGGCTCATTGACCGAAAACAGGAAGTTCCTCATGAAGGGGCCATGTGTGACCTCCTCTGGTCAGATCCAGATGAAATCGAAGGCTGGGGCCTAAGTCCCCGCGGAGCAGGCTTCTTATTCGGAGCAGATATCGTTAAGCATTTCAGCTACAAGAACGATCTATCCCTAATCGCGCGTGCTCACCAACTTGTCATGGAAGGCTTCAAAGAAATGTTTGACGGTGGTATCGTCACCGTTTGGTCAGCTCCGAACTATTGCTACAGATGTGGAAATGTGGCAGCTATACTTGAGCTAGGCGAAGATGCGAGTAATGGAGGCACCATTGCACGGAGCAATGGTGATTATGGGCGTAGCCTCGGTGGCCGCGCTGGGATGCTTGATGCGAAGAGGGTTCCTGGCCCTGGGAGACGGTACAGGGTGTTCGATGCTGCTCCTCAGGACACCCGTGGAATGCCGGCTAAGAAACCTGTTGCTGATTACTTCTTGGTATGGATATGTTTTATTATTACCCCACTTTGGACATTGGAGACCACTAGCTAACATGCATATTCCTCTGCTGTATAGTGATTAATACCTTTTCGTTGATTACATTGATGCAGTCTGTTTTATAGCGTTTATAGTTTTAAAGGAGCATGCCAATTGACTAATGAATTCATCACCCCAGAGTACATAATGTAAAATAAGTATGCAAAGGTAATGCTGAGCTATGCAAAAACCTAGAGGAACCAGTCTTACCATTCTTTTTCTAAGCCAATCAACGCATTAGAACTATGATGCTGTCTGTAGCTATTTAGGCTTAAAATTTTCTAAACAAAAATCAGACAGTTTAAAAGGTTTCGCCAGTAACTTAATGGATAGAATATTTAAGATACCCACCCTTATCAAGAACTCCTAGTTATGCTGTAAATAACAGGTATAATCCAGCCAGCTGCACCATACTGGTGATTAGACCTGGTAGTAATGAGAAAAAGTACCTGCAGAACGTCCTGGGTGTAATGTAGAGGGAAGGAAAGAATAGCGAATACGCTATACGCAGGGAGAGCGAGTTATAAGCAAATGCAAAAGGAAAAAAATAGGGGTATAGATGCTGAAAATCAAGTTTAGGGTATATGATGTATGTATATATATTCAAAAGCTATATATGCGACAGTGGATAAATCATAAGATGCCCTCATCAAATGGAGATCATCACCAACAGTTAGTAGAACATGTCGCTTTGCTCAGAATATTCCCCGTCAGCCCGTTGAGACATGTAGTTTGCGATATTTGGGTGGGTGGGGCTGCTTTGAGATGCAAGAAATTCTGAATTATAGTCCCCAGTGGAAGTGATTGGATGAGAGAGGCCAAGAGCCGCGGCAGTTGGAAGGAGTCCTTCGATATGCATGGGTTGCTGGGCGTGGGTTGTGTAAGCATCAGTGGCCTCTATTTGGGGAATAGAGTTGCTGCCTGAGGTTGGATAGTCCATGGTGTTACCAGGACCTTCGTTTGGAGTACCCCAGCTACTAGACCAATTGTCCATACCTAGAGCCAGGGCGTTCTGGTCCTTCAGCCACCAGTTTTGGCTGGCTTGAAGCAGCTTGTCGGAATCTATAAACGTTGGAGATTGAGGGAGACCTATAGGGATATCATTACCAAGGCTTGGGGTAGTGTTCATACGAGGTTGCGGCACTGTTGGTAGTTTCTGTTTGGCTGAAGATTCGTTACTCTCGGAGGGCATTTCATGTTCTGCAGGGAGTTGTTCTGTGGAAACAGTGGATTGAAGTTGGGTAACATCTTCTTGAGGAATCTGAACTGGTGCGGAATATGTAGAAGTGTGGGATGTAGTTTGAGTACTCATCACCGCAGACACTGTTGATGATTTGGCCGCTTCATGTGTTGGGGTATGCATTGGTTGTTCTGATGCCTGAACGCGGTCATGCAGTTTCGGTGATGCTCCCGATGACGAAGGCGATTGCATCTGTTCCCAAGAACTGGTGGACCCGAATCTGGCACGAGATCGCTCGATTACAGATAACGCTTCCTCCGGAAGTTCAACTTTCCACCTCTTCGATAGCAGATCCAGGATCCGTAGAGTTCTTCGTGCACAAAGCCAACTTTCGGAAATCTCTTCCAAATGCTTGAGCCCATGTGCAATGTCCCGCCTGGCGGACTTATCCGGTAGGTTAAGGAGATGAATTGTGCATGCCGAATGGGCGATGTATACTGCGATGTTGCAAATCTGACGTAACCCGTACGTACGTTTATATAGGCGTAACAATTTTGATATAACAGAGGCTCCTTGGGTACATAATTTCCTAGGAGAAACATAAGCTGGCAATGGGGAAGTGGACTTGGTATATTTCAAAAATGGACGGTAAAGGTGTATAAATAGTAATTGGAAGAACATACTATTGAAACCGTTAATAAATGAACAAGGAAAAATTTCTGGGAGTTGGTGGATAACATACTGCATAAGGAGGACCTGGGGTAATTGGCCATCTTTTGGTTCCATTTCCGGAGGAAGTGCTTTACGCCATGCCTCCAAACGAGTGTGCAGCTGGGTCAACCGCCTCAGCTCCTCTTGCTTAGAAATCTGCTTTGAGGGTCCCGTATTGTAAAATGCACCTAGAAGATCATTACTGATCTCACAAAGTTTGGATATTTGCAGGGCTACGGCTCTTGTTCTCGAGGGCTGACTGTAGTCATCTGAAATGCCGGAATCCGTATATGGTGACCAGATTTCCGAGTCTTCCTTAGGGAATACATCAAATTTTGGAACAGTGATATGGGGTCCACAAAGTTGTGGCTGGCGGCCAAGGTAGTTAGACCAGCATCTGCTTATGTTAATGTATGCTCTCTC